AAAGTTTGTTGTTGTAGTACACACCCTAGAACGATGAAATCTGGTAAAAAATGTATGCCTTCCGATTTCTACACTTCCAACTTAAAGTTCTATATAGGTTTTTATCGTGCACAAGATCGTCCGATAGCAGTTATATATCATTTTATATTTACTTCCATAATAACATTTTTTGTAAAAAAAAGTTTGTTGTTGTAGTACACACCCTAGAACGATGAAATCTGGAAAAAAATGTATGTCATCCGATATCTACACTTCCAACTTAAAGTTCTATATAGGTCTTTATCGTGCACAAGATCGTCCGATAGCAGTTATATATCATTTAATATATACGGTCATAGTAAAATTTTTTGTAAAAAAAAAGTTTGTTGTTGTAGTACACACCCTAGAACGATGAAATCCGGAAAAAAATGTATGCCATCCGATTTCTACACTTCCAACTTAAAGTTCTATATAGGTCTTTATCGTGCACAAGATCGTCCGATAGCAGTTATATATCAATTTATATTTACTTCCATAATAACATTTTTTGTAAAAAAAAAGTTTGTTGTTGTAGTACACACCCTAGAACGATGAAATCCGGAAAAAAATGTATGTCATCCGATTTCTACACTTCCAACTTAAAGTTCTATATAGGTCTTTATCGTGCACAAGATCGTCCGATAGCAGTTATATATCATTTAATATATACGGCCATAGTAAAATTTTTTGTAAAAAAAAAGTTTGTTGTTGTAATACACACCCTAGAACGATGAAATCCGGAAAAAATGTATGCCATCCGATTTCTACACTTCCAACTTAATATTCTATATAGGTCTTTATCGTGCACAAGATCATCCGATAGTAGTTATATATCAATTTATATATACTTCCATAATAACATTTTTTGTAAAAAAAGTTTGTTGTTGTAGTACACACCCTAGAACGATGAAATCCGGAAAAAGATGTATGTCATCCGATTTCTACACTTCCAACTTAAAGTTCTATATAGGTCTTTATCGTGCACAAGATCGTCCGATAGCAGTTATATATCAATTTATATATACTTCCATAATAACATTTTTTGTAAAAAAAAAGTTTGTTGTTGTAGTACACACCCTAGAACGATGAAATCCGAAAAAAAATGTATGCCATCCGATTTCTACACTTTCAACTTAAAGTTCTATATAGGTTTTTATCGTGCACAAGATCGTCCGATAGCAGTTATATATCAATTTGTATATACTTCCATAATAACATTTTTTGTAAAAAAAAAGTTTGTTGTTGTAGTACATACCCTAGAACGATGAAATCCGGAGAAAAATGTATGTTGTCCGATTTCTACACTTCCAACTTAAAGTTCTATATAGGTTTTTATCGTGCACAAGATCGTCCGATAGCAGTTATATATCATTTAATATATACGACCATAGTAACATTTTTTGTAAAAAAAAAGTTTGTTGTTGTAATACACACCCTAGAACGATGAAATCCGGAAAAAAATGTATGCCATCCGATTTCTACACTTCCAACTTAAAGTTCTATATAGGTCTATATCGTGCACAAGATCGTCTGATAGTAGTTCTATATCAATTTATATTTACTTCCATAATAACATTTTTTGTAAAAAAAGTTTGTTGTTGTAGTACACACCCTAGAACGATGAAATCCGGAAAAAAATGTATGTCATCCGATTTCTACACTTCCAACTTAAAGTTCTATATAGGTCTTTATCGTGCACAACATCGTCCGATAGCAGTTATATATCAATTTATATATACATCCATAATAACATTTTTTGTAAAAAAAAAGTTTGTTGTTGTAGTACACACCCTAGAACGATGAAATCGGGAAAAAAATTTATGCCATCCGATTTCTACACTTTCAACTTAAAGTTCTATATAGGTTTTTATCGTGCACAAGATCGTCCGATAGCAGTTATACATCAATTTATATATACATCCATAATAACATTTTTTGTAAAAAAAAAGTTTGTTGTTGTAGTACACACCCTAGAACGATGAAATCCGGAAAAAAATTTATGTCGTCCGATTTCTACACTTCCAACTTAAAGTTCTATATAGGTTTTTATCGTGCACAAGATCGTCCGATAGCAGTTATATATCAATTTATATTTACTTCCATAATAACATTTTTTGTAAAAAAAAAGTTTGTTGTTGTAGTACACACCCTAGAACGATGAAATCTGGAAAAAAATGTATGTCATCCGATATCTACACTTCCAACTTAAAGTTCTATATAGGTCTTTATCGTGCACAAGATCGTCCGATAGCAGTTATATATCATTTAATATATACGGTCATAGTAAAATTTTTTGTAAAAAAAAAGTTTGTTGTTGTAGTACACACCCTAGAACGATGAAATCCGGAAAAAAATGTATGCCATCCGATTTCTACACTTCCAACTTAAAGTTCTATATAGGTCTTTATCGTGCACAAGATCGTCCGATAGCAGTTATATAACAATTTATATATACTTCCATAATAACATTTTTTGTAAAAAAAAAGTTTGTTGTTGTAGTACACACCCTAGAACGATGAAATCCGGAAAAAAATGTATGTCATCCGATTTCTACACTTCCAACTTAAAGTTCTATATAGGTTTTTATCGTGCACAAGATCGTCCGATAGCAGTTATATATCAATTTATATATACTTCCATAATAACATTTTTTGTAAAAAAAAAGTTTGTTGTTGTAGTACACACCCTAGAACGATGAAATCCGGAAAAAATGTATTTCGTCCGATTTCTACACTTCCAACTTAAAGTTCTATATAGGTTTTTATCGTGCACAAGATCGTCCGATAGCAGTTATATATCATTTAATATATACGGCCATAGTAACATTTTTTGTAAAAAAAAAGTTTGTTGTTGTAGTACACACCCTAGAACGATGAAATCCGGAAAAAAATGTATGCCATCCGATTTCTACACTTCCAACTTAAAGTTCTATATAGGTTTTTATCGTGCACAAGATCGTCCGATAGCACTTATATATCATTTTATATATACGGCTATAGTAACATTTTTTGTAAAAAAAGTTTGTTGTTGTAGTACACACCCTAGAACGATGAAATCCGGAAAAAAATGTATGCCATCCGATTTCTACACTTCCAACTTAAAGTTCTATATAGGTTTTTATCGTGCACAAGATCGTCCGATAGCACTTATATATCATTTTATATATACGGCTATAGTAACATTTTTTGTAAAAAAAAAGTTTGTTGTTGTAGTACACACCCTAGAACGATGAAATTCGGAAAAAAATGTATGCCATCCGATTTCTACACTTCCAACTTAAAGTTCTATATAGGTTTTTATCGTGCACAAGATCGTCCGATAGCAGTTATATATCATTTTATATATATGACCATAGTAACATTTTTTGAATGTTTTTTATTAAAAGGCATTATGTAACGATATAATCCCAAATATATTTATATTTTATCAGATTTGTTCCTTTCCACATTTATACACATATTTTAATTGATCAAAAATATTTTTTTTAATGTAAATCATGAAAATCAATTTTTTTTTAATTTTTTCCACGTGCATAAACACATATTGAAAATGTAAATAATGAAAACGAGTTTTTGCGTCTTTTCCACGTGCAGAAACACATATTTGTAAACAAAAATAACTCACCACACCAAAAAAAATGTTTATTTTGATAAAACAGCTGTTACGGTTTGTTTTATTTTTCGTCGGGTTGTTTTCTTTATGTGCGTCGAAAAATCGACTTTTCATAAAATGCAAAAAGTCGACTTTTAACTAAATGAAAAAAGTCGAAAAGTCGACTTTTCGTTTCAACTATAGAACCCTAATCGTCACCCCACAGATTACGAAGAGACAGACAAAAAGCTTAAGATTGGTTTTTAAGTGTCCACTCTCTCGCTTACAAAGGGGAACCAAACTGGTGATTAGATGTTAGAGGAAATCATTCATTGTCTTTTCAGGATGTCGAACTGCTGGGAAACGGCGGTATGCTTTTTGATTGTGTTAGTAAAAAAAAAAACTCACACCGCATTTATAATGTGAATTTTTTTCACTAACACAAAAAACTCACCGTTTTAGTCAACCAATTTGATGTGTGGCCATGTCGCTTTAGAGTTTAAAAGAAATATGGTAACCCGGCTGCCAAATAATATTCCTAAACATTTCCATTCTCATTTCATGTATTCATTACGTCTTTTTGCAAACAAAACATCGACTATATTATTAAATAAGGTTTTAATAATTTTTCTAAGGATACAAACGCATATTAAATAAGTTGTAGTAAGTATTATTTTAAAATTCAAGATAAAAAAAACATCAAAATGGCTCAGTTCGCCAAAATATAAACAAATAGTCGTTCTTAACATATTAATTTACGACACTTCGCTGTGTTTTTTCAGTGATAATTAAGTTGATTCCATTCACAATAATTGTTTGTAAATGTATGTGAATGTTTAACATTGGGTACACTTTTATTACGAAAAAAATCAATTTTAATTATCCATCATTCATTTAGCATTTTCTTAAGTAATGCCAGGTTACACGAATATTTTATTAAAAAGTACGTTTTGAAATTCCTCTACGTTGGCAGAGTTTTAAAAATATGCATTCTTTAATAAAGAATAATTTGTATGGTGGTAATTTCAGTTGTTTATAAGATTTTCTGGTGTGTACGAATAACGACTTTGTTGAAATCGCTTATTCTGCAAATAAAACGGTCTTTTATAATGAAAAATACAAATTAAGGTCTCATTACTATTAAATTAAAATATTAGAATTTAGAATCATGTATAATACTAATTTACAACTCTGTTATGTGATTTTTTTGTAAAAAGGTGGCAGCATGTTTTTTTTTTCATTTCTCTTTCGTCATTTATTTTGTATGAATTTTCAGTTGACAGTTTTTTCATTGTATTTTTTTCTTCGCTTTTGTGTGAAAATCTGTAAAAGTAATTTTTGTTGTTCATAGATTTGTTCAATTAATTAAATGTTTTGTAAAAAGATGTTGAGAAAGATTTTCCTTAAAATTTGCAAAATAAATACGCCTACATACTAATAATTAAAAAATTTCTAATAATCTTAAAGTATTTTCTATATGTATGTAGCGAATAGTGAGTTAAACATTGAAAAAAGTGGATATTGTGGAAATATTTGTTAAAGTAGCCTATACACATACATTACTGGACAAATAAATGTGCATAAAATTAAATTTACTGATTAGCAGAGTCTCAATAGGGTAAACGCCCCAAAAACATGAATGGTGATTTGATGCAGCAATTGTAAATTTCTATGTCTGTATGTATAATTCTTTGACTTTAATTATATACATAAAAAACATTTATAATAATTTTATAATAGTTATTTTCAATTATGTCATGAGAAAAATTATATTGTACGATGATAATGTAGTTGGTATATGTATTATTGTACATACATATGCATGTATGTATATACCCGTAGTAGTTAACATTAAAGAAAAAATGTTTCCTATTATGGCAGTTGCGTGCAATTGTCGTTGTTATATCATTTCTGTTTAAGTCTAGAGGTCAAATTTATCGCGAACATAAGTGCAATTAATTAACTTGTTTTATCAAAATCTTTTTGATTTTGACGAATGCTGGTTCAGACTGATTTCTGCATACATATGTACATACATATAAAATTGATTTAAAATAATTTATAATATTGGCGAATGCGAGAAATATCAACAAAGGCTTCAAAAAAAATACTGATAAGTTACTTAAGATAATTATGTTTTATCGTTATAAGCTTTTATGTTGATACTTTGAATATTTTGTAATCTACAATTTAATTCAATATTAATACATAAATACTGAATCGTTTTTTTTTTTAAATTTATACTCCACAGAGCATAATATCATAAAAATAAATGACATAAATATCTGAAATCTGTAAATATTCTACATAAGTATTGTTACAAATAGCAGCAGATAAAACAATTAAATAAAAGTTTTAAATGATATTCAGAATTTTTATGAATTCTATTTTTATTATTATATAAATTCTTATAAGAATGCTTTCTATTTATAAGAGGTATACCTCTTATAAATAGAAAGCATTTTTATTGAAATTATTTTTATGTTTGAAGTTTTTTTCAAATGTTTGTATTTTCTTAATTTTTTTATTGGAAACAAAATAATATAAAACGATATTATAATAATATCGTTTTAAATAATGAAACATGATATCATAATCGCCCTTTAAAAACAATACCGTTTTCGCTATCATATCGTTCTTTGGTTTATTGGGTACCTCTTATAAATAGAAAGCAATAGCAGGTACATAGTTGTACATTCATTTGTATTTCTATTTTTTAATTATAAATGGATATACCATGATGTTAATTTGATTTTGTGTTCAGCAGTTGTATCCATAAATATAATTTACACATGTTCGTTGAATGAACAACATGATTCCGTGAGACAAAATAAACGAAAATCGAAATACATGGGAAGGATTACTATTTTTCTGAAAGGTGGATCCGAGTAGAAGAAGAAGGTGGATCCAAGTAGAACAAGTTTCCAAACACCTCCAAAATCTTGAGATAGAGTAAAAACCCGGCTTTTTAAACCTTTAAGCACTTTTAAGTCAGTAAATTAGTTGAATCTCAACCGATTTTAAGTTTCTCAACGGATTTAGAAAGCAGAAGCTGAGGCTTTTATAATGGCATATATGATGTTTAAGTAACCTAGAAAAATATGTATGCATTTCATCGGCAAACATGTTTTTGATTTTGGAGGTGTTTGGGAAATTTCAAAAATAGATTCTTGTTCTACTCGGATCCACCGTTCAGAAAAATAGTATCAATTCCCAGGTATTTATTTTTGTCGCATAGTGTTATTTATAACGAAAAGTAAAACCATTAATCAACTTGGGTATAACTTTAAACGAAATTTTATAGAATGTAAATATCTTAATATTTATTTTAAAATACATTATAATTTTAAATCACATGTGCGTGTAAGCAGGTAATGTGGTGGTAGTGAGTAGTTAAATTGGAAGCAACTAACCGATCCCATAATATTTCAAAAATTTAAATGTAAACAGTAAATAAACTTGCTTTATTTTGGGTCAAATAAATATTTTGTAATGACCTAGAATATCCATCAGTTGGGAATAGAAAATATTTAGCAGCAACAAATAAAATTTAACTCAAGCTGCCACCCACATTATCCTAATACAAGTAATTAATTGAACCGAAAAAGCAAAATAATCTATATATAGTGTGTTTGTGGTAAATATTAAAGTTAAATATATTGTGCAATGCGCGGTTAAAAAGAAAGAAACTCACTGCTGCCACCTTATCCAGTTCACAGGCGCTACCACTTCAAAGAGAGAAGTAATAGCAACATTTTTCTTGTTTCTTTTCTCTACTTTGCCATAGAACAATAAAAATATATACTTCGAACATGTCTTCAGAAAATCACGAACTAGCCGCTGCCCTCATAGCCGAAATGCCAGAAATGAAAGAGGAAATTCAAGCCGAACTTGGTTCCTCCCCAGAGAAAGATGAAAATTCTGGCAAGAAACCCAATTTAAACGAGTTGAAGAACTTTCGTATGCAACGTAAAAGAGAACATGAAGAGTGTGATACGGAAGATCATGTCGCACCCATGTCAAACTTAACAAAACAACTTTGTTTGGAGACCCATACAACCGAAAGAAAGTCCATCATTGAGATTCATATTGCCAATACAGATACCAAGAAAAAGATTGACGATTTAAAAATAGAGACTTTATGTCAATTGAAGGATAACACACAAGAAAAACTAACAGAGGTTATGGATGAATATATTAAAGAAATTAACATTATTAAACGCAGTGAAACAAGTGCTCTGAAAACAAGTGACCATATAAATATTGATATACCCAATAGTTCTGCTTCTATACTTGATAAAAAATCTGAAATAAACGTAGATAATGACAATTCGAATAGAGAGACAACTATTTCTAACGTTGAATCAACGCAAATAAACACTATAACAGAACAATCGATATATAACTCTGGAAGTCATGATGAAATAAGTAACAACTCACAAAATGATGAAGATATTCTCCAAAATTTGGAAAAACTTACGCCGGAGGAAGAAGAAAAGGATAAAGAATATCGTAAAAGTTGCAAACCGTTTCTGCAACATTTACCATGTTTTAAGTTACAAGGCAACACCTCATCCGCCGTTGCTTCAGAAACTAATACAAACAATTCTACGACAGCAAATGTAAACGCCATTAAAATACACAAGTGCAGAGAATGCCGTAGAAGAACTCCACAACAGGGTTCCAATGATGTCTATTGTCGTTTTTATGAATTTCGTTGTCTTCAATACACAGAGGCTGGCCAGCTCTTAGTTGCAGGTTTTCCCAATCCGTATATTGATCCCACGCAGGAGGAAATCAACATATGGCGACCTGACGAAAACACTGAACCAACAGCTGGCAACATGGATATACAAGTTTGTCGTTACATATTGCTGCATGTCGGAGATCAGTTCTGCTATCTTTGGCGTCAGGAAGCTGAGGCATTAAAACTTCACGAAAATACAAATAGTACGATCGCATGGAAGAAAGTTGTTCAAGGTATTCGAGAAATTTGTGACGTTTGCGATACTACCCTCTTCAACTTTCATTGGACTTGTGAAAAGTGCGGATTTGGAGTTTGTTTGGACTGCTTTAAAGATCGCAAAGAAAACAGAACAGTGCGCAAAATGCAAGCCGGCGAAAAACCTCCCAAAGGAAGAGATGATTTCTATTGGTTATTATGTTCTGGAGGTGTAACACATCATGCAAAAGAGCTTATATTGACCCAAATTATAGCTGGAGATTCATTGAATATTTTGGGCAGACTTTTACATGACGTGAGGACTCTTTGGGAAATTCCCCAACTTTGCGGATGCTTATTGAGCAAACAAAAAATGCCTAATGGTGATTTGAAGAATCTAATACAGGACATGATCAAAGAATCTCAATTAAAGCAACAGACTAGTGCCTCCTCTCTGGCCACCCAAGAAACCCTAAGAAAACAAGCACGTTTGGAGCAAATTCACTCCAAAGCTCTGGAATTTGCTCGTGCCAAAGGCATTGATTATGTACCAGGACGAATATTTAACAAACAAACTTTGGGCAAGGACCCCATCACTACAGCATTCGATAATTTTAAACACATTAATTTTCTGCGAAAAGGTCTTGCAGGCTACAGACGCTTCTTGCCACCGAGAGCAATGATATTGACAAATTCTACTTTGATAGCTCCAGGTGTTCCCCATGAATGGTTGTGCGATGGTAAATTATTACGTTTAACAAATGCAAATCACCCTGATAATCGCATACTCTTCCAAGAAGTTTGGAAATGCGGGCAGCCGGTTATGATATCGGAGGTTGCTAAATCTCTGAATTTAGATCTTTGGCGCCCAGAAGCTTTTTTGAAAGATTTCGGCGATAAGCCCAACGATCTTATTAATTGTCTCAATGGTAATCTCGTACCCAACCAGCCAATGCGTCACTTTTGGGAAGGGTTTCAATGTATGAAAAAACGTCTTCTTGATGCTAACGGAAAGCCGATGTTACTGAAACTAAAAGATTGGCCGCCTGGCGATGATTTTGCTGAAATACTTCCCACTAGATATAAAGATCTGATGAAAGGACTTCCTATGCCAGAATACACATTACGCACCGGAAATCTTAATATAGCCAGTTGTTTACCGAAAATGTTTGTTCCTCCAGATTTGGGACCGAAAATGTACAATGCTTACGGATCGGCATTTCATCCCGATAAGGGAACTACAAACTTACATTTAGATATCTCTGATGCTGTCAATATAATGGTATATGTTGGAATACCGGAAGACTCTGACAACAAATCGCAAATTTCGGCGTCTTGCAAAGCAATAGCAATGGGCGGCTGTGAATTTTTAACCAGAGCAAGAGTTCAAAAGAAAAATGTGTTACCAGGAGCATTATGGCACATCTTTCCGGCCCGAGATGCTGACAAGATACGTGATCTATTAAATAGGGTCACATTAGAAAAAGGTTTCCGTCTCGAACCAGATCATGATCCTATACACGATCAAAATTGGTACTTAGATGACAAATTGCGTGCAAGACTTTTCAACGAATATGGCGTGGAAGGATATCCCATTGTCCAGTGTTTGGGAGATGCAGTTTTTATTCCAGCTGGAGCTCCACATCAAGTACAAAACCTTCACAACTGTATTAAAGTGGCAGAGGATTTCGTCTCGCCTGAAAATATCACACATTGTTTCCATTTAACCCACGAATTTCGTCGACTCTCACATTCTCACACCAATCACGAAGACAAGTTGCAAATAAAGAACATAGTCTACCATGCCATCAAAGACTGTTGCACCATCTTGACTAGAGCTTTAGAAAAACGCCTTGATCAAGAAGTTGAACGCGCCGAAGAAATTAAAGCCAAACTGCAAATGAGAGCAGACGATTCTGCCTAGTTTTCATTAACTTTTTTATATATATACATATTTGTTTAAATCTTTTAAATACACAAAATTATTCAATTTATTATGTATGTACTTTTATTAATTGTATGAAATACATTAGAATCTATTTGTAAACATTTTTCATTCGTACAGCTTTTTATTAGGATATTTTTAAAGAGTAAGTAAAACGTCATTTCATCTAGATAATTTTTATACAAACCACTCTTAGGCGACAAGTTCTTTATCCAACGGCTTAAATTACTTTAAATGTCATTCCATTTGTAATTTCTACAAATTCTTATTATGTTTGTTAATTTATTTGCTTTTCACAAATCGGGATCTTAAAAATTATATTCGCGGGATTTTTCGGAATTCTTATTTTTTCCAATTTTCCAAAAAAAACGGAGTCCCTTCGACTCTACTTGACTGTACGCGTGCAGCGAACTACCACGATATAATGCCTGTATTTCCCGGAATTGTTTTTAGTAAATTGCAGGAATTAAGTTTCGAAAAGTATTAACGTATACAAACAAAGTGATATAAGATGCGCCATATCCTAATTTAAACTTACTTGTTCATTTTCGAAAACTTTTAACATCTTCATACATATGGGGAATTTCATATCAAGTGACCCAACTCAGATTTTGACGAAATTTGCACGAAAGTTAGTACTATTGGATAGTAGGTCTGACACAAATTTTCAGCTTTATCGGTCAAGAAGGGGGCCAAAGTTGGACATTTTGGTCATACAGGGTTTTATTCAAATGAGAATAACTTTTCACCTATTGCTCCTACCAAAAATTGTCAAAAGGAGTTCAGATAGCTATTTCTTCATTCTTTCCAATTTTTTTTTTTAATTACATATTTTCTTTTAATTTTTTTTTGAAATGGCCCTTTTTTTGCTTAAAAGAAACGTCCATTTTAAAAAAATTGGGGAAAATTAAGTTAAAAAATATTTTTTTGATATCCCCCTCGCATCCAATTATGGGACTATAAAGCCCTTCAAGGAAATTGTATAAGCTTTCTTTTAAGTAAAAAAAAAGAAAACCCTGTATGACCAAAATGTCCAACTTTGACACCCTCTGACTCCGGCAGTTCTTGACCGAAAGAGCTGAAAATTTTTGTCTGACCTACTATCCCTGTCTTCCAAATCGGAAGACATCGATTTTTAAAGTTGGGTCACTTGACACGAAATTCCCCATATACATTTTTTGAGTCCACCATTAAAATATCCTTAAATACATATGATATTATTATATAATTAAGTCATATTTTTCAAAAAGTTCTATTAAGATTTATGTATAATACTAGTACTAGTTTAATTAACAAGATTTTAGTTAGTAAAATAAATAAATTAAAATCTTAGCTTTTTTATAATTTTATATTCACGCTGTTTCTTTCTTATATTTAATTAAGGATTAAAAATGAAAATCAAGCTGCCACTGAAGAAAGTCAATTATAATTTTTGATTGGATACCAAATCAATATCATCGCAAGTTCGTACATTGAAGATTAACAAAATAAAGTATTTCAAAATGACTGTCGATTTTAACGATTATTTTTGGGTTTGTACATTTTTCTATTTATGAATTGTTAACAACATATTTACGAATAAACTTTAATACTTTTAGGGGGAGAAGAACAATGGCTTTGATGTTTTATATCATAATATGAAATATGGTCTACAAGCCAGCAAAGAACTTTCAGATTTCTTTCGAGAAAAGTCAAGTATAGAGGAGCAAAATTCGAAATTAATGTCAAAACTGGCTCATAAGGCCAGTACGGGAACATTAAATAGTACATTTTCACCAGTATGGACCATTCTAAGGACATCTGCAGAAAAATTGTCTACGCTCCACATGCAAATGGTGCAAAAACTCTCCGAATTGGTTAAGGATGTAACGAAATACACGGATGAATTGCATAAAAAGCACAAGACTGTCAAAGAGGACGAGGCACAAACGTTGGAATGTGTTAAAGCAATACAAACGTCTACAGCTGATGTACAAAAGGCTCGCGATATGTACAGTAGTAAGGCACAAGAATTAGAAAAACTACGAAAAGACAATTCATCACAAAAAGATATTGATAAATTGGAAACGAAACTACGCAAACTGCAAGACGACTATAAAGTATTATTAGATAAACACAACCCCATTAAGAACGAATTTGAACGTCGTATGACGCAGACTTGTAAGGTACATGCAAATTGCTATTCACTTCTAATAAAATTCGTCACTAGTAACTTCTTTTAATTTTCTATAGCGTTTTCAAGAAATTGAAGAAATGCATTTGCGTCAAATGAAAGAATTTCTTTCTACCTATTTGGAATTGTTGCAAAATAACCATGATATGGTTGGACAGGTAATATAAGAACTTAATATTGGTACTAAATAGATGCACTTCTAACATAATGTCATCATTTATTAATATTCATTTAGGTACATTCCGATTTTAAGCGACAATTTTTAGATATGACTGTTGACAAATTGCTGGAACAATTTGTATTAAATAAATACACTGGCTTGGAGAAACCTGGTAATGAGCATTGAAATTTAGTTGCACTAGTTATTCTTAATTATTAATTGAATATTTTTTATTTATTTCTTGTAACATATTTCAGAAATGCCAGAACTTGAATTCATTCCATTATCTATAAATCAACAAATATCAGCCACTTCAAATATTCGTCTGAATCAACCTTCAGTTGCTTCAAATTCAAATTCAGCCACTAGCATCAATCGTGGTGGGAACGTTTCGATGGATTTACGCGGCACCGAAGCTGTATCAGTAGGTAGTGTTGCAAGTGGCAGTGGTAGTATTATAAATGCTGATGACTCTGCTTTGGATGTTAACAGCACAAAAACTACCGCATCGAGGCCCACTTCGCCAGAAGTAACCTCTTCCCCAAATGCAGCCGCAGCAGTAACAGCAACGACCAGCACCGTCAAAAGCAATTTTCGCAGTTGGTTCTCGTCAAATAATCCCAGCAAACAACAGCCACAGCAACAAAATACCGGAATATCTACATCTGCCACTAGCGGTAGTGGAAATTTCGGTATGGATAGTAATTGTATCACAAGTTCACTATCAGTCAATATAAATGCTACAAATAACACTACTAGTACCACCACCACCTCTGGCACAACTACCACAACCATCAACAAAAATTCCCTTAACTCTGAGCTTCAATCACTACAGGATAACAATCAAGGTTCATTTTTGACAACTGCTTAAACACTATTACTCTATATCTTCTCTCTATCTCTCCCGTCCTTCTAACGTCCTAAAGACTTTTAAAAGACACTTTATAAGAAGTATTGTTTATATATTTCCTTTTCTTTTCTTCTACAACTACTCCTACTACTACATACAATACTATAAAATATTTAATTCTATGGAAAAATTCAAATTTAAATCGTAGATTTTAAATGAAACCAATATTAACGATTAAGATTTGTAGATTTACCAACGACCACAGATTGACGAAAAAATCTGCTAGCTTTCATTAATTCTCATTCCAAGTCCTTTTAAATGCATCCGAGTTAATATTAAAGTGTAAAAGTGTATGTAATTTTGTTTTTGTTTTGAAATTGTGTGGATGATAACGAATTGGATGTAAATGTAAATCTGGCAGATTGATTGATTACATGTAGTAAATGCCTATGAATGAAATTAAAACATTATTTTTTTGTATTATTTATTATTTTAATTTGTATTTTCGTAGTAAATACTTACACTCAAAACACCAACTTTATGTAAAAAATTTATCTGTTGATTTATTCATTATTACTTTTGATTGTATATTTAAATGCCACATACATTCCACAGACATATTTTGTACAATTGTAATTTCAGTATTTTTTTATCCATTAGTTTGATTTCTAATATTTATTGGCACAATGATTAATGATAAATTTAAAAAAGTACTCGTTATTCACACAATCGAAAGAGGAAAAAAGAGCTCATGACAATATTCACACAATTTTTTCGTAAATAATATTTTAATCAATAATAATTCGTTTAAACAACTTCCTTTCATCTGTACCTGTGAATAGCACTGAACTCACAAATAGACCGTGATGTTTTATCAACAAACTCTAGAGACAACATTACAGCCACATCACCAAATATATCAGCTCCCGTGTTAAGCACTAAAAAGTTCTCAGATCGTTCAGGAACTACAACTACTACTACAAATCATCATCAACTTTTCTCACCACAAAATACAACAAACAACAATTCTTATTCATCAACACCTGCCACGACATTGGGAACAAGTCAGAGACGCACTACATCCCTATTAAATATTTTCTCTTCAAATTCTCAGGGTATGATTTTGTGTTGATTGAAACTCTGTTAATTAATGTATTGAAATGAAACGGTTAAAGAAGGAAGTTCTTTTTGGTGCTTTAATTTGAAACAATATATACATTTCTTATTCTTTTTTCCCTTAAATCGTAGAAAACTTCTTTTTTGTTAATTTTTTCTTTAAATTCCGATTAGTATGTATTTAAAGGATTCTGTATTTTGAGTTGGTGTTTGAGTTTCAACTATGTATAAAAATTATTCTGTTTAATAATGCATTTATTATTTATAACTTAATTTTAAGTATAATTCGACTTGATATTAGAGAAATAAGTTTTCATCAACTACAATACTATTCTAATTATCTCTATAGTGTCGGGCATATTGCGAAGTCGACGTGACAAAACGAAAACAAAAAAATCAAAGAAAAAGAAAGATGGTGAAATGGCGGATAACATTAAGGAAGAACGCACTCAAAGGTGAGTTATAACATTTATGGAATTGTATTGAAATTTGAAATGTTTAAATTTTAATTTTTAGTGTGGACAGAGCTGGTAATAGCTCTATGGAATACGACGATCAGGGTAAAACAAAACAGCAAAACTCAAGTACAACAAATTCTGGATTATTAGCCATAACTTCAAAACTAGTAGGAGCTGGAGCAGAATCAGGTGGTATGTCAAATATACCTGATGTGTCTTCAACGTCGGGTTTAGTTGATAACAATACCAGTGGAACCGGCGATTCAAATCATACAAACAAAAACAATAACACCGCTTCAACAGCTGGGCAACAGTTTAGTGGCAATGAAGTTGACGAAGATGGTTACAGCCTTCAGCCACCCAAAGAGGTTGCCTGGGATGAAAACAAAGAGAATGGTAATTGATTGGAACGTTTCTAAAAGTGTCGCGTTTTTATTTGTCCTAAATTTTTTTCAGCTGGTAGTTTCTATTCTGATTCCGATTCAGATTCTGATAACGACAGGCCCGAGAAACGAATACATGTAAAAATAAAACCTTTAAATAACGGCCAGGCGCCCATGTCCGCAAGTGTGGATGAATTAAGGGCCACTGTTGAAAATATTTCATTATCGCCAACAGGTGTATTTTCGGTATGTGTTTTATCTGCTTAATTTATAATAAAGTTTTAAAGTGTATTTGCATTGTGATTATAATTTAATCATGAGTTTATAATTCATTAATTTGTCTTTAAAGCAGCACAGCCAGCAGTTGCAACAGCAATCTAGACTAACTTCGCGACAACAATCTCCGGAAATTTCGAATGCTTCCACACCAACGGCAGCAGTACATCCGTATGCACCTTTGCAAAGTCCAACATTATCTATGTCAAACAATTCAAGGTAAGATTAAAACGCGATCTCATTAATACATACATACGTACATACATATGAATGTATTTTCTTTTATATTTACTCTAAATTTTTATAGATATGCTGATCTAGGTGATATATTTTCTGAATTGGGCGACGTAAGTTCATCAGCTCCAGCTTCAGCCAATCTGACGAAAACTCAAGGTCGACAAATACCAACTCCAACTTCTGGAACAGGTAGTAGTATTGCTATACCAAGACCGCCTTCAAGGAGATCGGAAATGTTAGTGGGTGCTAGAGGGCGTATTAGTCCGGCACCGATAAATACCATTAATCGAGCCGATAGTATAGGCTCTTTGGAATTCCGCACAGCCATTGGTGGTATTAGCTCTTCCAGAGGGCCCTCACCCCTAACCATTGGAATCTCTGATACTATACCGCTGGCGGTAGCATTTCACGAAATTATTCATGCTTACTTCAGGTAAGACAACACCATTTATATTACATGTTAAATACATTAGCCAATGTCATAATTTCTCCATTATTAGAGGTAGCGATGAATCGCGATGTCAAGTAAAAATATCTGGAGATATGATGTTATCATTCCCTGCCGGTATTGCTGGTTTGTTGGCTAATAATCCAAATCCAGCTAAATTGGGCTTTCGTATTAAAAATGTACAAAATTTAGAACATTTTATACCAAATAGTAAATTAGTGCAAACGTAAGTATTTCTTCTATTCATTTACACCATTCACATTTTTTAATTTTATGTAAATTCGTTTGTTTATTTTTAGGGATAAAAATCAATCCAGTTCATTTAGCACTATGCTAGAATTTAATATGCCAGCATTAACAGCATTGTTGAGACGTCAGGCGGAACAGAATCCTACAGCTTCGTATTTCAACGTGGATATTCTAAAGTATCAAGTGCGCACTAAGCCTGGGGCTAGTTCGTGTCCGTTTCAACTGGTTAGTTATTGGAAATGTGAACCCACATTTACAGCGCTTAAGGTTGATTACAAATATAATAATCATGCCATGAGTGCGGCATGTCCACTTTTGAATGTAACACTACTCGTGCCAGTAAATGGATCAGTTCGAAACGTACAATCAAAACCTCATTCGGCATGGTAAGAGTTAAACATAACATAATAACATACATAGGTTTATGTTATATACTTAAGTATTTTCTATAGTTGTAATTACTGTTTATTTAAATTATTTTTAGGTTGGGCGAATCGAATCGCTTGGTATGGAATTTTACCGATATATCCCAAAATTCACAGGACGGTGGAGTTGGTACATTGAGAGCTCGTTTGGAGCTAAGCGATGGACCGTCTACGCCAGCTTTGCTAACGACACAATTCAATTGTGAAGGTACAACATTGTCTGGCATAGAATTTGAATTACATGGTCATGGCTACCGGGTGTCATTGGTAAAGAAGAGATTTGTATCAGGTGAGACTTATTGATGGGAAAAATAATTATTTTTAAAAATTAACAAATAAACTCTTAATAAACTAATACATCTTCTTTTTATAGGTAAATACGTTTGTGAAGGAGATGGTGTACGTAGTGCGGCCACACCAACACCACCGTCTGTCGGTTCATCTAGTCCATTTTCGGGAAAATCAAACTGAATAATTTTTAAAAATATATATTAACTAGAAAAGGATGCCTCAATTAATTGTTTGTTACTAAATATAATAATAAAAAAGAAAAAAGAAACTTTTTTATATATAAAAACCAAACAACATGCAAACTATACGAATTCGAATTACTCCAAGGTTTTTCTACAATTTTTACAGACTTGTAAAATACATGAACATGTAATTTACACAATAATAACAACAAACAAAAAAATGATCAATCATATTTCTTTTTCTTATTACTATTATTATTTTATTTAAAGCTGTTTCATGTTATTAATAAAGATATTATTAATCTATATACATACATACTTATATACATACATATATATTATTGTTACACATACATATAACATTTATGTTTTAGTTTTTCTTTATTTGCAAATAACACTATTGAAAATGTGTAAATTATAATTTTTTAATATAGACACAATAAATACACACAGTTCAAAAGAAAAAGAAAAATAAAAATATCGATATTCAAAACTAGTTTCCTATCTTTATCGACACTTTCTAAAGAGTCTTTTGTTCAATCATAATTGTGGCGAAATAAAAATTACAAGATTTACCAAGATTATGTAAGACAGTTAATGTAAATGTTTACTCAAACATCAAATTTCAAATAGTAAATCCTAAGAGAATTTCACAAAAAAATAGAAATCCAACGATTTAAATTTTTTAATCGGATAGCTAAAAAATTGCCATACCTTCATTTTGCATTTTGATTACGTTTCCGTTTTAAGATTGTGCGTACTCTGCATTACGATCATAGCTGTGTTATTCAAAGGGGTGACAAAATTTAAATAAAACACAACTTTTAATATTTTATAAATATAGTTTACCAAAATATGTATAGGATAACATAAAGATATCGCAACATAATAACATAACTTTTAATAAGATCTTTCATAAAGAAAACAAGCTTAATTTGTATAAACATTTACTTTGAAGTCATTCCGGGAACTCTATAAAGAAACTCCCCATCATCATCATAATAACAATCATTCGCACGGTATGTGGCTCCTTTTCGCCATAGCTTTCGAGGTATATGAATACGCCTAAAAAACAAAAAAGGAAATTTAATCCATGAAAATGAAATAAAAAAACTTATAATAACAAATTACAAATGATGTAGAATTGGAGATATCATGTTAATTTAGAAAAAATATATTTTATTGGAAAAATACAAAAATAATATAAATAATCAAAATTACTTCTAATAAGTTATTAATTAGATTATTCGATTAAATTAACATCTGTGAATTAATTTTTGAAGTTTTGTTTTCTGCGGATTAGCTAGAACTTAGGAAGGTATTAAGAATGAGTTGTTTTACCACTATTATTATAAAAGTCATGAAATTACATTCACTTTGAGCTACTGTATTTTTTTTTTTTTTTTTGCTGGGTAGTTACAACTTGTAATATGTAGTTACATATACATAGGGATATGTATGTACTAGCAGTTTGATACTTACTCTTTTGTTGTACTCATGCCATAACGCTTTCTATCAACTTCGTTGATAACGATTTCATTCGAGACAAATTTTTCAGTGTAATCGAACTCAGCTATAGTACTCGAAGTTGTATCCTTGTCTTTAATAATACCGGTACCACTAGTATTTTTAAGTTTTTGAGCAGCCAATTGATCCAGTGATTTACTATTGTCCTGTAAACTTTTATTCGACATGTTTGATGATTTTAACTGATGAATTGTCATAGGTTTTTTATTCTGGATTTCGCCTAAAAGGTATGTGTCGCTATCACCGCCATCGATAGCAGCTCTTTTTTCTTTTGTTTTACCATCTGTTAATGCTGTAGTATTTACTTGTTCATTAGTTTTTGGGCGCAAAGATGATATAATTGAAAAAAATTCATTGCTCTTTGGTTTTTGCCACTGTCTTTTCTGAAAACTTTGTGTGGGATCATGTAAAATGTGAAAATTGTTTGTTTCCCTATCAACAAACTTCTTAAGATGTTCGTACAAATCTGAACTAATTTTTTCGTTATATTCTCCTTTCTTAAATCTTTCCCAATTTCTCAAGACGCTTGTATCATGAGAATGTATTCTTTTCGGTGACATTGGACTCCAATTTGCTTTTAAAATTTTACAAATCGTTTCAGCACTGGCTGGAAAACTTTCAGCCAATTTTTCTACTGTCCATTCTTCCTTGTCACTTGAGTGCAAAAACTTGATTTGCTCCTTTTCAGCGTATGTCAACAGGTTCGGTAGCTGTTCTTTCTTAAAATATTTCCTTTCTATAATATGTTGCCTTATTTTGTCTTTTTGCCTTTGTAAATCTAATTCATGCTGTTTGTGGGATTTGTGAGCATTAAATAAATCACTTTCCAGACCTTCGAAACCTTCGGGATCACTTTGTATAATTTTAGCCGCATCTTCTATTGCTGTTAGTTGATAACCTAATCCTGGATTAGAGCGTTTTGGCAAACGTCTTATCATTAAAAACGATGTGGTGGAAAATGTTCTCGATATTTGTAAAGAAAACCCCATTTTTTAAGAACCAATTCTTTAATTGTCCAAATAGAAAAAAAAAACACTGAAATAACATATAAAATGTAATTAATTTCTAGTGAATGGAATATTAAACAGAGATGGACAGTTTTTTGTATAAAAACGATGTTTCTTTAAACTATTAGGGTAGTATCACACGTTCAATATATGTATATCGTGATATTTGCTGTATTGTGATATGTATTGAACGTGTAGCATGTAATATTGACGGATCGTGTTCCATATCACAGAAAACCCCAATTTTCTGAAATCCAAAATTTGTATCAATATTTATAATGGATTACGTGATAAATATTGAACGTGTAGCATGTTTTGTGATATCAATCACGATACATTTGTAAAATTCGAAAAAACAAATAAAATAAAAACAAAGTCAAATATTTTTTTAAATGTTAATAAAAAATATAAAAGATAATAAATTTTTCTAAATTTGTATGAATTTGGAGTTTTCGCGGCATTCTTGTTATCATCGTACGACCCGTGTAACACGAAATAATGAAAATACTGACGCGATATATATTGAACGTGTAGCATACCGAGGTATTTATCAAACTATTAAAATGGGTCGTGATTCATATTGACCAATATATATTGAACGTGTGCCAGTGCCCTTAGGAACAAATCTAGATCCATAAAACATTTTTTATGGTGCTAATTTGTTTATTGTTTATAATCATATGTTCAGAAGGTGTATATACTAAATTACAAAATTGATGCCTTATAACTCCAAAACTATATATAAGCGCTATCAACACTCAAAAAAAATATTTAAACATAAGATAATTTAGTGTTTATGTTTTTCCTTTTAAAAATTATAGATTGACGGTATATTAAAATTAACAAATAAGAACTTTGAAGTAAATCCCACGATAACGTTGAATAGCATGTACAATATTGTATGGTATCGACACTCCCATATCTGCCTGAAAAATACTTTGTTCAGCTGTTGTGTTATTGTTTTTTCCTTTCTGTAAATAGTGTTTTTTATTTTTTGTTATTATTCATCTTTTACCAAGTGCAAATTAATTATGTGGCAATAATTAAATTATTTTTGTATTAAAATAAATAAATATCCTCAAAATGGAGAGAAGCAGAAATGATTTAGAGTCGATAATCAATTCTCAGAAGGAGCAACTTTCTCGATATGAGAAAAGATTGAAAGGTAAATAGAAAAGTACATTATTATCAATGATAATAACAGAAATAAAATTAATGTTTGTTTACAATGTCTTTCATATCCAGATATTATAACAGCATACAAGGGACTACTTAAAGAAAAGGAAGCGCTCGAAACCAGCTTAACGGCAATTCTAAACAAAAACGATGACAAAAACTTGGAGCCATCTCCTGGTAATGCAGGAGATTCCAATGTGGAGCAATCTAATGAGCTGCAATCGTCCTCTAAATCGGAAGGAGGTACAGACACAGATGACAAATTTTCCCTTCAAAGCCAAATTGCAACTCTTATGAACTCATTGGCCACTTTGTCCGCCGAAAAATCCCGGATGGAAGCATCGTTTCAAGCCGACAAAAAGGTGTTGCGGGCACAACTACAGCAAAAGGATGAAATAATGAATGAACTGCGAAATACAATAAAGAAAAATGAAGAACTCGCAAAAGCTGATGTTGACGAATTCAAGGCCAAGCTGATAATTGAGCGACAGGAGCGTGAAAAAGAGACCAACAACCAAATGCTAATGATCAGAGAACTTCAGAAACTGTATGCTGATGAGAGGCATCTTAAAGAGAACATAGAGATGCAGCTAAACAATTTCAAAATGCAGTTTGCTAGCAATGAAGCTGAAAATACACGAATAACTGAACTTCAAGCTCAATTAAAGGAGGCTAAAGCCCAAATTAAGCTATTGAATGGTCAAAGGAGTGGTACTGACCCTTCTTCGTCTGCCGCACAAAACAGTTCAGTATTATTGCAACAACTACAAAAGGAAATGCAACAGCTGAAGGAACATCACGCAATTGCTATAAAAAATGAACAACACAGGGTTCAATTGGCCGAAGAGCAATCACGAAAACTTGCTGTTCTGCACGAGAGTCGCGTAGCGAATCTTGAATCTAGATTGGCTGAATTAAGTACCTCTGTAGGGACATATGATCGCTTACGACAGCAGGACCAAGAATCTATACAACTATTGAAGATGCAAATACACGACTTAGAAAAGATGACTTCCGAACATTCCAACAAAACACAGTTAGAAGGGCCGCTCCATGATCTATACACCGATAATAGAATAAAAAGAGCTATACCTACTAATAACGATATATCTAATATTATTGAAAATATCATGTATTTGAAGAAAATTCTTTTGCAGGCAAATACCCACTCACCTAATCCGATTGATTTGACAAACATTTTCTCTGTTGGCGCAGACCATTCTCAGTGTGAAGAGGAAATAGCTAGAGCTTCGCAACAGCTGGAAGCTTCAAAACGTGAAGTAGTCGAACTTGAAAAGAAATTGAATCAGCAAAAAGATCACATAACAACATTGCAGGAAAAGGTTAAAGATTTGAATCGCAACATAGACGAACAAGATTTGGAGTTGAAAAATTATAACGAAAAGTTACGGGTGGCAGTAAAAGAAGAGCGTAGCAAATGGCAAACTCTTCACGCTGATACGGAAAATGACTATCGTTGTAAGCTAAACGACTTGGAACAGCAGTTGCAAAAACAAAGACAACGCTCCCTTCAACTACTAGATGAAAAAGAACAAGAGATTAAAGCTTTACAAACTTCATTTGAAATCTTTCATTCCACTAACCAGTCCAATATTGGCACTTCAACGTTGAATGTTGCCAAAAATGATACTAATAATGCGACTTCATCCGATGGTGAAACATTGGATGATGTAGTTCAAGACCAACAGTCAACGTACAAGAAAACGAACATCAAGGCAAAAAAACTGTCAATGGGCGATAGTTGTCATATGTTACATTATGCCAATGAAATCGCAAGAAAGGATATTGAAATTGCTAATTTGAGAAAAGCTAAATATCAAGCAGAAACTTCAATGCGTAAAGCCATTCATGAAAAAGTTACTGCCCAAGAAGAACTTAACAATAAAATTGAATCGCTCGAAGAGCAGGTCGACAGGTGAGATTATTATTGCGTGAACTTTTTTATAACATTATAGATATTAACATTTTGCTTTTTACTCATTAGACTTGAACGGTGTAAATCACGGGAAGGTGCGAATTTGGAGTATTTGAAAAACGTTATTATCAGTTATATTGTGTCTAAAGACACAGATGGCAAACGTCATATGATGAATGCTATAAGTGCTGTTCTACAGTTTACACCTCAAGAGACAAAAGTCATCAACGAAGCGTTTAACAAGAAATAATATATATATTTTCAATTAGATAGATTTGAGATATCTTATTGTATAATAAATTTAACATGCACTCTTCACACTATTGAAAACCATTCACCGGGAACTTAATTAAATGGTCTTTCAATACAGCCGGGAACATGGAGAAGAACTTAAATCGTGATCCCATTTTATCTGGTTGTGTTAGCATCTCATATGCGGACTTGATTGTTGCTTGATTTTCTGGCAAGGCATTTTTCAACAATCGCTAAATAAAGAAAAATCGGGGTTTATATTAAAGTAAAATCACTAATATGTTTTTGTATACCTCTAAGCGCACTTCTCCCTGCATACGTTGAAGAAATAGTCGTTGTTCAACAGGTCCTAAACATAAAACTTTATTGTCTTTTTCCGCAACTCTTTTCATTTGCCTAAAGTCAACATCGACAGTTATATCAGCGGTACCTGGAGCTTTCAATGGATTAAATAGCTCGTGCTTCTTAAAAGCCTAGAAACATAAAAACATTAGATATTATGCACGTGTTAAAAGAGTATTTCTACTTTACTCTTAATGTATCAGATTTTTCACCAAAATGTCCATAGTCTACTATGAGGCCAATGCCACCATTTGTTTCAAACCGGTCAGCTAATAAACTGATAATACGATCCGATTCTATAGAATATTCAAGACATTGTCTTGTTTCTCCAACTATAGGTTCAAATAGTTTTGATATAGGCGTTTGATTCTTTGATAAAATAAATCTAAAATCCGCTTCCTTCGTCTGCCCGTCGGCTATATCTACAAGCACCTCCTTCCATAATCCATCCTCCATTTGAAGTTTATGTACAGGTAAAGCATCGAAGAATTCATGAGCCAAAACAATGGAAAATGAGGCGGGAACGTCCTCAAGTCGGGAATACCAGTAAACTTTTATGCCAGAGGCAGTCACACCTTTCTGATAATAACCTACAGCATTGCTGTCGGTGGCTTCGTGAGTGTAGCACAAAAGTTGTGCTTGCAACGTACTTAGGTGCGGACTTATTTCAACAAGATGCATTGAAAAGTTGCTTCCCAGTTTGAATTGTGATAGAACTTTCAGAACATCACGTATTAATGTGCCTCTTCCTGGACCAAGTTCCACCAGTTGAAATGGGGGTCCGCCTATTTTTTGCCATTCGCTTAAAACCCAAATAGCCACAAGCTTTCAAATAGTTATTTCAATACAAGAACTTTTTATTGTCTTCTTCACTTACCTCTCCAAAAATTTGTGATATTTCCGGCGAGGTTATAAAATCGCCCTCACGACCAAAAACATCTCGGTTCATATAATAACCAGATAGTGGATTTATTAAAACTTCTTGCATATATTCAGCAATAGTTATTGGCCCAGTTGCCAAAATTTTAGCTTGTAGATGTTTTGTAAGATCTGCATTTGTCACAGGTCTAGCTTCCTTCTCAAATGGCTGTTGTGTTCGTACTTTTGTGGAAAAATCTGGGCGTTTAACAGATTTATAACTGTAATATCTGCAGGCCTTTCGCCACACCTGTACAAATACTGATCTCTGCATGTCGGGACAGTTTCAGCAAATAAGTTTAACCAGATATTACACAATGCACACGGAACATCTAAGCCGCAGCAAAAAGTAAACAAATCACAAACATATGTATGACAAAGTCAGTACCTAAAAAGAATGATCACTTAAATTTATTTATGTTCACCCAGATTCACATCTTCGCATTTCAATGATCTTCTAGGTGGTTTAAATATATTTAAAATCTTGGCCTTCTCTAATAACATTCGTATTTAATGAATGCAAACAAGCATACATATTTATTTCTCCAATTTATTTGCTATTAACAGTTTTTAATCCGAACTACAGGAAAACATTTTTTTCTAAAAAAGGAACTGAAAAAAAGTTAGGTTGTCATCACTGTAAATTGCAAATTGTTATCATTTCACAGAGTCAATAATTCATTTTCCTTGACAAGAAGAAGCATTTAATTTTATCAAAATTTTGCAAATATTTATTTTATTTACATAAAAATGTCTTTTCATTTGAGTACGAAGGAACGCCTGCTTCTTTTAATAGACGACATGGAATTAATATCAAAGTATGTAAGCGGCGACAGACACAACAGATAAAGGTATTCTAATAAAAATAAAATGTTCTTATATTCAGGGAGTTGATAGATAATCTATCGCCAAAACATCAAAAAATATCGACTGCAGAACACACTGCATTAGTTGATTTGTTGGTTGCCAAGGATGAAGAATTTCGCAAAATGCTTGAATTGGCTGATGAACAGGCAAAGTTGGAACAAAAAATGGATGACTTGAAAGCTAAAGTAGATGTACAGGTTGGTCAATTGGAATTTACTAAAAGTAAATTTTACTGTAATTAAGATTTACAGGATCGTGAAATACAAAAGCTACAGAAGTCTCTCAAAGAGGCGGAACATATTCTATCAACTGCAATTTTCCAAGCACGTCGTAAATTAGCCAGTATTAATCAAGCCAATAAAAGACCCGTATCGTCAGAGGAATTGATCAAGTATGCCCATCGTATAAGTTCCGCAAATGCTGTTAGTGCACCTTTAACTTGGTGTATCGGAGATGTTCGACGTCCGTATCCAACGGATATTGAAATGCGAAATGGGTTTCTGGGAAAATCAGATCTCAATATCAACGGTGGTGGCGTAGCCCATCAAAATAGTATGGCGGAAAATCAACGAAACATTAATGAAGTGCCAAATGCTTTTCAAAATCAGTTCAACTGGACTAATATGGGTGAATTACACATGTCTATGGGTTCCTCGGGTAATTCTGTCGCGCTGGAAACCCGATCTCATAAGGAAGCTTCTCAGGATGATGTAGAAGTTATGTCAACCGATAGCTCTAGTTCGAGTTCTAGTGATTCGCAGTAGTTTTAAGAAATACCTATGTGTATATAATGTAATACAAATTTTTAAATTTAATTGATTTTTTTATATTAAAAAGTCCTACAAAAATATTCCTGTGAAGTAATAATACAAAAGATATTGATTTAAGTCGAGAAACTCATTAATAAATCTTTTTCGAAAATTTAGTTTTCTTTACATGAGTAGCCGGGTAAAGAATAAAGAATATGAAGGACTTATGTAATTATTTTATATAGCGAAAAATATAAGACCTACATGTACAAATTACATATAATTTTTCAAAACTTTTAAATCTTTTTCCTCATACCGAGTTACTGCAATAAGCCCTTTATACATATGTATATACATACATACATACATACATGATGTAATTAGTGCATCCTGCATAGATGCATATTTGCTTTTTCAAAAATTAAAAAATATACATACATATATATCGTCACCTGAAACAGCCCTAACTAACCAAAAATTCAAAATCGATTTTATTGTTTGTTTATTCTAATATATTGCATCAAAACAAATGTCCACACCAAAAATATAGCGAAAAATATAAGACCTACATGTACAAATTTCATATAATTTTTCAAAACTTTTAAATCGTTTTTCTCATACCGAGTTAATGCAATAAGCCCTTCATAAGTATATACATACATACATGATGTAATTAGTGCATCCTGCATACATATTTTTTCAAAACAAATGTCCACAACAAAAATTGGATTCCTCCGACAAAAATTATCGATTTTATTGGCAAAAAACAAAAGGCCCTATCTACAAAAACATTTAAATATTAAAGGTAAAAAGTCCAATTTATCCATTTCTATATACGCCATTGTCAACTATCATAACAAATGAAAGGTTTCACTATTAAACAATTTGTTTATTTACTACAAATAAATCGCGTTGATAGAAACAAACTTTTCAATTTAAATAGTTTTTTGCTTCTCCTGTAAAATTTTAAAAATGTTAGATAGGGCCGTTTGCGTTTTAGGTGACGATATGTTTTTCACAACAAAATGTCCATCATTCAGAGTGAATGAAACTTTTTTGAGAAGCTGCACTGTTTAAGAAGGTGTTATCAGTTGAACAGCTGAATTAAAAAGAGTATAATTGTCAAATCATTCATTGTTGTGCAAAACACAACAAACAAAAAGTATAAACAACGAGAAGATTTTGACAAAATTGACTCCTTTGGTTCTATGCACTTTGCTGTTGTTCTTGTTTAAATGCTACTTAGTTTATTCTTTGGCTACTTATTTGGCGCAGACTAATTTTGGCGCGTGCAAAATATCAAACTTATTAGACGAAGTGAAAAGTTTATTGTAGTAAAAATATGTTTAATAAAGTGCATATTTTATCTGTTGGTTATTCTCAATGTGATCCGTTAGATTCCAAGAGCATGAAAGCAAACTGCAGTTCGACTTTAATTAAGACTTACTGCGGTAAAAATATTATTGTGGATACGATGACCGCTTGGGATGGCGACTTTATTGTGAAAGCCTTAAAGGAACATTCGCTGGAACCCAACGATATTAATTACGTCGTATGCACTCATGGACACTCAGACCATATTGGATGTAATTATCTTTTCGTTAATGCGGAGTGGCACTTTGTTGGTTCATGCATGTCCCATCAAGATAAATATCCCGACTACGACTGGGAGCACCCATATTCACTGGTTGAGGGGGAAGTTGAGATAATTCGTACTCCGGGGCATACTTTGAATTGTGTTTCGTTGATTGTTAACAACACTGACTTGGGAGGTACTGTTGGTGTTTGTGGCGATTTATTTGAAAATAGTCAAGATGTGTGGGATTCTCAACTATGGATAAGTGCCGGTTCGGAAAACCAAAAAATGCAGAAGGAAAACCGTTTAAAGCTAGCCAAATTGTGCTCTTATATAATTCCAGGACATGGGGAAGGGTTTGTTGTTACCGATGACATTAGAAATAAGCTACAACAAGATTGCAATGAAATTTAAATATAAATAAAATGCACGCATACATATGTATGAATATCAAGCCAGGGGTAAGTTCAGATTTTTCTATATTTTTTTCTTTTACTATAGAAAATTTGGAATAAATCAAGAGCACCAGTGCAGATTTTTGAAATAATTTGAAAATATTGCACTTCTCTGCATCTGCGTCGCAAACTCATTATCAGATGCTGTGCAGTAATGCATTTCCGAACAGGCCCATTGAGTTTATGGCGTAGGGAATTTCTACTTTCTAATTTAGGTTTGTGCTTCGTGTTTGAATCGCCGATTGGACTTTGTTTGTACAAATATTAAAACATTTAGATTTTTACTCAAACATTGAATTTTTTGTCAAACTACTAAAGCTGTTTATTTTATTTTACATACACATAACATAAAATCGACATCTGAACTTATCGCAATTCTAAAATATAAGAAAAAATATTTGCTTCTGCGGACAACACTTGTGTAGTCTATTTCGCTCTTAAGAATAAGAGCTAGCTTTTGAGTTGCAAATTAAACTTTTTGGTATTTCCATACACAACAACTACACAACTATGTACATTATCAAAACAATTGTTATTTTACAAAAGAAGACTACATACAGTGAACGTTATATGAGAGTAAATTGAAAAATTAAATTAATACCGAAAATTGCATACTTATCAAGAAAAAACGAATTTTGACATTTATTTGCATAAAATTTAATGAACTTTTTTAAAAGAAAATTATTTGTTTTCGCATCCGTTGTTAGGTTGTTGGGGCAGTCGATCAGTGACCGACTCACTTGGGTCCTTAAATGGTCTCGTTTTTTTTTTATAGGACATTACATGTCCGTGTTTGATATGGTACTAAACCAGCCAGAGGCACGAATAAATGATTCCATATAATATCTGTCCATATTGGAGATAGCCTTATGTTCAAGCAGTATTAGACTGTCTAGAAACTTAGTCCAGATATTTGTCAAGGCAGGGCAGAGGCAGAGGAAATGTTCTACGGTTTCCTCTTTAGTTTCATTTGACAACTCCTGCAATAGTCATATGGAAGATTTAGTCTTCAAGCATGCGCAATGCGCATCTGTAGTACAGGATAGCGACAGTTGTTAATACTTTAGCATTTTTGCACAAGTTTAAACCACCTTCATTGACCGTTTAAAGTAGTAAATAAAATTAACCACTGAATACCAAATTAACTAATCAAGTATATACTCCTGAAAACCGACTCTAAATAACATTGATTTAATTCTTTTACTTATGTATATTAGGATTCCCCAAAACAAAAATAGTTTTTAATTATTTTAATTTTTTGTTTTAAATAAACATCAATTTCCATAATATGTATGTATGTAGCAAAAGCATTATTATCCAATGAAGATTCATAATACATATATGTATATATTATTAGTCTTTGTGTTAATCAGTAGATTTTGACTTTAAATTCTAAACTTTAGATACTGATCGCAAGCATTTAACTAATATAAGAAAATTATTTTTTTGTTTGATACAACCTTGATCTGTGTAAGAATCTTGGAATTTGAAATTCTCAAAAAATATTCTCTATTGATTAGGTTTGTTTGGTATTGAAATGGTCATTATTGGTCCACAATTTCGCATAGCCATATTAAAAAATCAAATACATTTAACACAGTGATAAATAAATATCACTCATTAAGTACAAAACTCGGGTTTTGTACAGAGTAGTAATTAAAATGCGCCGTTCTAAAGTCTTTCATATACATAGTTTTGTATACATACTTATTATTAATAAAAAAAACTGATATTTTGAATGAATTAAAAATTGTATAATTATTCTAATTTTGCCTAAAAAATCCTTAATAGTTAATATGAACATTTAAAGTGTATTCCTAAAAGTATGCTGTGAAATATAATATTTAATATTTAACAGTATGTTAACATTGACTTTATGTAAATGTGACATTTCTCGTTAATGTACAGTAACAAAAGCAATAACAAAAATATTTTGCTTTTTGTATTAAAAAAATAAAAATATTAAAATCAGATCAGTTAAAAAATATTTTTTTTTTTCGAATTTTAGAATGATGTTTGATGTGGTAATATACCTATTTACATATATACATACATATCGTCATATGAAATCCAAAAAGCCCTAAGTTACATTGAACAAATTTTTCAGGAGAAGCAAAAAACCTTCTAAAATGATAAATAATCCAGAAATTTTCAACATTTTCTCAAGTTAAGCTTATTTTTTTATTGACAATTTAGTATTTGAAGAAAAATTTGCGGTTTTTGTTTTAATTGCGGAGATACGAAACTTACGCCCTTGAGAATTTGTTTTTTTCTGAAACCCAAAAGGGCGTAAGTTACAATAAAAAGTAGTAAGTCTCAACATTTTTATCTAAATTAAAATCGGTTTTTGTTGGTCAAATAGGCCGAAACATGGAAAGTATAAGGCTTCATAAAGATTTTCGGAAATTCGAAATTTTCTTCGAAAAAATCTAAAGCTGTTAAAAATCTATAAATAGCAAGGTTTCGCTAAAAGTCCCATTTTTGTTTTGTTTGATGCCAATTTATAACATTTTACAATTTCGAAGTTAAAAACTCAAAAGAATTTTAAAGTATTTTTAGAACATAATCTTCTGATTTCGAAGATAGCGACGATGATTTTGATTGTAGGAGTGTAAAATTTAGCAGGAACATGTATTTTAATACGGTGCTTCATAATCAATCAAAAAGTCGATTTTTATTTTTTTTTGTTACTTAGGGCCTTTTGGATTTCATGTGCCGATATGTATTTTATCTGCTTTATTATAAAGGGTTTATGGAATCGAAAGTTTGTCTTTTTCTGTTAATGTACAGAAACGAAAGCCATAACATAAGAATGTATTCTGAAATATTAACGGTTTTTAATATGGTTTGTGAATTTGAAAAATATATTCATATTTAAAGTTTAAGTACAAGGCAGTTTAAAAATTTCCACGCATATTCAGTTCTTGTATCTTACAGGCTGTCATTATTTTAAATATTTCAGTCTGAACAACAATATAGTCATTCTGTAGACGTCGCAGAAAACACCAGAACCAACACCGCACCTGATTCTGAACATTTTTTAAAAAAAAAAAAATTGTGCCATTAAAATTAACTTATATTAACATTTCGCGTAAATATTATCATCTAGAGAAAATTATCTATCCAACGAGGTATAAAACATTTATATCAAAGGACAAACAATAAAGTTATTGACAATTTCCCAAGCCATTTATTAAAACATCATGAATTTTTGCATTGTTTGGTCTTCGTTTTGCATGTAGTAGTGATGTTAACAAGAATAAGTTAGTCGTTTTTGATCCATATTTGTGAAAAGAAAATGCCTATAACTTTGTTATTTGTCGCTCGATAATAATACTTTTTACCTTGTTGGAAAGATGATTTTCGTTAGAAGATAAGATTTGCTCTAAATTTTATATGCACAATTTTTGAATAATTTAAAAATATTACAGTTTTCAATCGATTTCTGGCACGGATTCCCGTTATACGATTTGGCTAAAATTTTACACGAGACTACCCGCAGATTCTGCACCTTGAATCTTCGGGCACGGTGCAGAGGCTTAAGCATCCTAAGGATGTGAACTAAGAACTACCCTCCCCATACCTCACAGCCTCTATGTTAAGAGGGCTGTGGGGCAATGACCACCTTCGGTCGCCTAGCGATCACGACCTCAAATTGGTAGCGTCTGTTCCCTTAGATAGGTCGGCTACCAAATCCCCCCCTTCTTTATTTGATGTCGGTCCGGGACTGTGGTTTGGGTTACCTAGGCAACATAACCGTACCATTCTACCGTTTGTTCCCTATGTTAAGGGCGGCTAGAAGGTACAATCTGGTTCTGTCAGTCTGAATGTTTTTGGTTGTAACAAAATCCAGGGTGCGTCTGACTCATATTGAGCGGCATCCTGGTCTGCGTCTGACTCCAGAAGAGCGGCAGACTACCAAACCCCCCCCCCCCCATGAAATGTCAGAACATAAATACGCCCCTATGTCCTTGGTCGAGGGTGCTAAAATCTCCAAGGGTAACGTGAGTACTCAGGTGGAAGCCACAGGTCTGAGTGCCACTGGAGCTACTGTGACTGCGACGAAACGGACAAGTACCCCAGGTCTGGTAGTCGAAAATGCTACTGGGGTAGACAAAACGGACAAGTTTCTTACCAGACAGGACAGAGTAACCTCGGACGACAGTGACGACAACCTCTCAGGTCTGAAAAATTTAAATCTTTATGAGACTGATGAGGAACCGCAAAACGCGGAGGAAAACGGACAAAATCCGGAGGCCCATGACCCTGTAAAAGGAGACCCTGCAAAGGGAAACTCTGTTAAGGGAGACCAAAAACAGACAAACAAAGGACAGGACACGGAACAGGACGAACGGAAAAGGTTGGCGGGCTACAAACGCTCTCTCCGGTATGTCAGATCGCTGGACTCTAGGGATCCTGCGACTCTGACTACCCGAGAAAAGCGTTTGCGGCGTAAACATACCTACCACATACAGAAGTATGAGGCCATGCTAAATACTACTGTTGTGGAGGTCAGGCCAGCCACGACTAAGACGGAACCAAACCAGAGCAGGCATGTGACCACATCTAAAAATGTGCCCCATGCCAGCACTGGACCGAACACGATCACCGTCTCGGAGAATCCTAACGTACAGCCATCTTCATCAAAGAAGGCCACGTCGGGACCAAAGAGAGGTGATGACCAATGCGGCATGACAAAGTCTGCTAGCACAACACCCAAGGGACTGTCTGCATCTTCCTCTTCTCGAGGTACAGCGACGGTCACCAAAGGTCCAGCAAACAGGCCTAGTATAAAGCGGCAAAGGTCAGGTGAAACGCAGGTGTCTGAGGGTAAGCGGTTGAAACCATCAACTAGCCTAACATCAGCTCCTGAGCTGCAAGTAGCCATTATAGACCGTAGTCATCCCGATGGGAAAATGACTACGGACAGATGGTTACTTCTGGAGGATATGATCTTGCGGGCACTAGTTGACGAACTCGCACGCAGTGAGGATGACTCCTTTACAGCGTTCGACGGCGCCAAATGGTCAAAGGGTGTCAAAATCATCGGATGTGGTAATGAGAAAGCACTAGGCTTTCTCAAAAACTGCATCCGTGGAGTTGGCGAACCCTGGCCCAACGCGAAGATTGAAAGATTGGACAAATCCATACTAACACTAATTAAGTGTCAGAATAAGGAACTTGGTACTGACGACTGGACGATAGAACGAGGACGCACGAGGGACAAGGGAGAAGGTAAGGATCTCTGGATCAAAATTGGTTCAGAATCCCTCCGACTCCTTCGTTCTTCTCAAGGCGTCATAAAATGCGGGCTCAACGAACTTCGGTTGATCTTGCCCGCAGAGATGAATCCAAGCGGCCTGAGGGTGGTACAGATTAATCAGCACCACTCCGAAGCAGCAACGGACGACTTGCTGCGCTTTATGGAGAAGGAAGTTATCCACGTGGCCTTAATCCAAGAACCCTGGCTTGCAGCCAGTAAAGTTCGACGCGTCCGGTCACGAAACTGTGTGCTCCTCTCTCCAATCCCTGAAGGTAAAATAAGGCGCTGTATTTTGGTCAGGAAAGACATTAAAGTTTTCCTTCTTTCTAATTACAGTTCTGGTGATTTAACGGTAGTTGCATTAGAGCGACAGGGGCTGCCAACTATAATTATATCATCTGCGTACCTACCGTACGACGAAGACAATCCGCCCTCACGTGCCGTACGCACACTAATAGAATGGTGTAGTAGTACAAGGGGCCATCATCTTGTCATAGGATGTGATGCTAATGCTCATCATACTCTGTGGGGGAGCTCGGATATTAATGACAGGGGTGAGTGTTTACTTCAATACCTTCTAACTACTAACCTTAGTGTTTGCAATAGGGGTAATAGACCAACGTTTTTCAATAGGATCAGAGAACTGGTCATTGATATTACTTTGGTAGGGAACACTGACTCAGTCAGAATTCTTGATTGGAGAGTATCACTCGAGTCTCATTCTCCGATCATCACAGATGGCTAAGGAAACCCCCTTTAGAAATCCTAGGAAAACAGACTGGGTCAAATTCAGTAATCTGATTGATACCATACCACCTCCGGAAACGGATGGACTTGGACGACTCAGTAGATTATCTATCCAGGACTTAAAGGGAAGCCTACTATGCTTCATGTAGGGTGCGGAAGGTACCTAGGAAATTCCGGCAACCGTGGTGGAATCCTAAACTAATGCAGCTAAGGAAAGAATGTAGGAAACTATATAATAAAGCGAAGGGGGATCAGAACCCGTTAAGCTGGGACGATTATCGTCAAAGCTTCAATACTTTCAAGAGGGAAACCAGAAGGGCTAAGAAGGAATCCTGGAAGCGTTTCTGTGAGGAGCTGGAGAGTACCACGGAGGCATCACGTCTACGCAAGGTGCTATCCAAAGACCCCGGTACGCCTGGATTCCTGATGAAACCGAATGGTAACTTTACTGAAAGTAGCACCGAAACTTTGGAACTGCTTATGGAGACACACTTTCCGGGTTGCAGAGATGATGAAAATGAGGGCTCCACTTTGGAGCACCTCGCAGCTTCTCGAATCCACATAAGTGAATTAGTCCCCAGGGCCAGATGGCATATTCCCAGCATTACTCCAAAAATCACCATCATGCCATGGCTAATTATGATATTTAGGAGCAGCCTGGAAACAGGATATATTCCTAAAGTATGGAGAGAGGTTACAGTGGTATTTATCCCCAAAGCGGGAAAAGTAAACCATAATACCGCCAAAGACTATAGGCCGATCAGTCTGTCATCGTTTTTATTGAAAACATTGGAAAGATTGGTCAACATCCATGTCAGGAACATCATCTCTCCTGATAACTTCTGTAGAGCACAACACGGATACCTGAAAGGAAGGTCGGTGGAGACAACCTTACATGACGTTGTCGGAACTATAGAGAGGGCACTTGACATAAATGAATATGTTATGGCATCTTTCTTAGACATTGAGGGTGCGTTTAACAACGTGAACATTTCCGCAATAGTCGATGCACTGAGTGACCCATATGTTGATCAGCGGATAAGAAACTGGACAGAAAACATGCTTAAGAGTAGGGCCATCAACTCTAATATGGGTATTGACAAGACAATGAAAATTGTGACAAGGGGCACAGCACAAGGTGGTGTCATCTCTCCACTCCTGTGGAATCTTGTCGTAAATAAAATCCTTTTCAGACTCAGTAGGATGGGCTTCAAAGTAGTCGCATATGCTGACGACGTCGTGCTTCTTATTCAAGGGAAGTTTCTTCCCACAATAAGTGAACTCATGGAATCAGCCCTCAGCGTTCTACTATCATGGGCCAAGGAAAACGGTCTGGGTGTCAACCCGGCCAAAACTGAACTGGTTCTTTTCACCAGGAGGTACAAAATTCCAGAATTCAGACCTCCGCGTTTGGATGGTACCATTTTGAACACCTCAAGCGGGGCCAAATATCTTGGCGTAATCCTAGACTCTAAACTCACGTGGAAACGTAATGCTGAGAGTCGAATAAAGAAGGCATTAAGTGCCTTCTATATATGTAAGAAAACTTTTGGGAAAAGATGGGGTCTTAAACGATACATTGTGCACTGGATGTACACCGCGGTCATAAGACCTATTTTGACCTACGGAGCTCTTGTTTGGTGGAGAGCGGTGGATACCAAGACTCATCTCTCTATTCTAAACAAGGTACAAAGATTAGCATATCTTGCAATCACTGGCTGTTTGAGCTCCACCCCTCAGGCTAGTCTAGAGACGATGCTAAATGCATCAAATGCATTTCTGCTAAATCTGCTCTACGACTTAAACAGTCGAACGGGTTGAAGCACGACCGCATTGGTCATGGCACCATCCTACAAAAGATAGGCAGGCCTATCATGGGGCAGGAAACAGATTTCATTCTATCTACACTGAATTTGAATAGGTCATTCAAGACCAAAATACCGACAAGGGATGGGCCGCGAATACTGTCCTAAGGGACGACGTGATCTCAATCTACACAGATGGCTGAAAGACAGAAAGGGGTACGGGATCGGGAATCTTCTCCGATGATCTAAATCTTCTACTGTCTCTTCGACTACCTGACACCTGCACAGTCCTTCAGGCAGAGATATATGCCATCTATACTGCCGCGAGAAGAATCCGGGAACTAAATATCGAAAATTCGACTATACATATATACTTGGACAGCCTTGCATCAATCAAGTCTCTTAACTCCAATGTCATTAAGTCGGAATGTCTTCTCAATTGCATTCAATCGTTGGCATAACTGACACAACATCACGTTGAGTTGATATGGGTTCCAGGACATGAGGGCATCCGAGGAAATGAAATATCTGATGAATGCACAAAAGGATATTCACGCTCCCCTGACGACCCTATCAAAACTGATAGATGAATGGGCTATGAGTGAGACGGAACTCAAGTGGTCAAATATCACCACTTGTAGAATATCGAGACTGCTCTGGATCACTCTGACAACAGATAGAACTAGGACTCTCTTATCTCTTGATAAGAACTCGATTAGGCTTCTAACTGGTATAATTACTGGGCACTGTATGATTGAACATATGTCAGAACGTATGGGCTACCCAAATCATAGCTACTGTAGAAGCTGCTTAGACGAAGAGGAAGTGGAATCGGTACAACACCTTCTGTCCAGCCTTACAAGAGCACAGACTACTCTATCTGGGTAGAGCTCTTTTCCATGATCTAGACTGTCTCAGAGATGCGTCACTGATAAACATGATCGGTTTTATTAAAAGCACCGGCTGGTTTACATGGAGACCGAACGAACCAAGTAGTCAACGAAATTAGGGAGGGTAACCATTCTCTCATCGCTAGGGAATGGTAATTCTAATGGTATCACAATGGGCCACAAGGCCTCCGAGTGAACTCGCTTGCTAGCGAGCAACCCACGTAACCTAACCTACCTAACCTAACCTAGTTAGTAATAGCGATATTTTTAGGACACCTCTAATGTACATAAATAAAAGGTGTATTTACCAAAAATCAGCTAGTTCGGGAACTGGTTCGAAATTCAGTTATATATTACTAGACATACTAACAAACTAACATAACTCCTAATTTTATATCGAAATTGTTGAAAACTAGTTCAAAATTCGTTCTTTTTAATAAAAAGCGTATTTTTAATTTTTTAAAACAATTGTTTTTAATTATTTTTTATTTGTGTTTTTATAACATTGTTTTTCTTTTTGTTCTTTTGAAATATTTTTAGCTGTTTTTTTCATAAATAAAAATAAAATACCTTGGAAACTATTTACAATGATTTTCACTTAAACCAAAATTAAATGAAGAAACTCTTTTAGAAGTTCATTTTCTAATAAAATTCTTATTTTCTTAAATTATTAACAATATCTTAGATTGCAGCTAACGATAGATTCTGAAAGTTCTTAAATTAATTTATTATTAATTACAATTATTTACAAAATATTCAGAAAAATTTTCTAGTTTTATGCAGAAAATAGGAATTAAATACAAGTTTATTATAAAGCATTGCGCTATTGGATGTCAAAGACCACTTGTTTTTTCACATTATTAAAAATAAGTGATGATTTTTACACAAAATTAAATCAATATTTCAAATTTTAAAATTTATATTAAAAATTCAATTCACAATAATTTAAGAGTAGAAATAAAGATTCTTAAAATTGCTTTCGCGTTCAATGATCATTTGCATCCGTGTGTAGCACTTTAGTGTAAAAAATTCTAACGGTTAGAGAAAAAAACTGTGTTCACAACCTGAGCAATTTACTTTTAAAAAGAGAATAACTGAAGATGTTTTTAATAAAAAATATACGTAAACTTAGATTGTAACTTATAGATTTAAAGTGGCATTTTTAAGCTGGATGAGCTTCAACTTAAATGTTAGAAATACTTTTTTTGGACGAGGAGGTGGTAGTGGCCTGTTTGCAACATAATAAAACTAATTGTAGAGGAGTTGTTTACAACTGATACTAACTGCCGACCATTATATGTGCAGGTTGTTCGAGTTCATTGTCGTAACGTGTAACTGTTACGGGTGTTAGGCTGTTTTTAAATCCAAAATCGTCCGCTGAGAGTTTGCAGCTAGGAGCTAGTTCCGTAAACTCAGTGCCCAAACCAAATTCCATGTCTAGAAAACCATATTCCCATGTCGATGAAGCAGATGCTGAATTGGAACTCATACTGCTGACATAGGATGAGGTTAGTGAATGAGTGGCAGACGAGATGGTCGATAATGTCGTGAAGGTGGCGGTAGTTGTGGCTGAGGGAGGAATTGTAGATGTGTTGCATAAACTGCTTGTGGCAGCTGGCGAAGCCGATGAAGATGACTGAACAGTCGTAAAAGTACCACTGATTGCCACAGCCATGGATGAGCTCGAATTTGTTTCGCTGCCATTTGTTGTGGAGGAAGATGCAGGTATGGAAACGGGTACGGCAGTAGCTGGATTCGCAGGTGGTAGTATTGAAAATAGATCGTTGTTGTTGAGCGGATCTAAGGCAGATTGGGAGGAAAGACTTAGCACGGAGCTCCAGTTAATAGAACGGGTTGAGTCGTCATCCGCATAACCGGAATCCGCATCAGATGCTATCGATGTGGCCGTCGAAACTGTTGTGGTATTTATTGCAGGAGATGTCACAGATGATTGCACTTGAGACGACGATGTTGACGTGGATGCAGAGGCTGAAGCAGGTGGTAATGATATCACAGGTTGGCTTGGAAAAGGAGTGGCACGTCCCGAATGAGTTTCCCGAAAGGGATAATGATCATATGGATGAAGAGTTGTTGTCACAGATCCCGAACAAGTGTTAGAACTTTGATTATGTACAAATTGACTCGATGGTGCGGGTTTTTGCAAAGAATTCTGAAAAGGTGACGTTTCCATACGTTCATTTTGATAGAGATGATGGTGAAAATTTTGTTGCGCTGCAGATTGTTGCTGTTGGTGATTCTGGTACTCAACATTACCACCGAGGCGACCGCAGTTGGGAACTGGCATATAGTCTTGATGTTGAGGGTGTAGCATGGGCTGTTGGGAATGATGTTGTTGTTGTTGAGGCAGTTGATGATGGTGTCCATTGTTGCTGTTGTTGTGAGATGGTAGTGGCGACTGTATCTGTATGTGAGAATGCAGATGATGATGGTACTGTGACTGGGGTTGGTGATGAGCAGTAGTGGTGTGATTAATGTGGTTATGGTGTTGTTGCGCTACTTGCGCTGCCGCCTGGTGTAATTCTTTTGCCTCTGCTTCAATTTCTCTATCGATTCTTTTTAGCGTATTACAGATTAATACTGATCTATATAAAGACTGTTCAGACACTTGACGGAAGCGTGACAGCTTAAACATGGATAAATTTCGAATTTTTAGTCGAATGTCTTTGTAGCAGGATTTGTTTGAGCCACACCAAGAGCCTCGGCCGTCACAGCAGCGTTTCAATGGAAGTCTGGTTTCATGAGGTGCGGGGGCAGCGACATGTAGACCTACGAATGGCGTGGGTGATGATGCTGGAACCGTATTATTTGTCACATTCTGTATTGGACTACTGCATCCTAGTTCTAAATAAGATTTGCCATTCTCCGCACACCTAATTGTTTGTTGTTGAGCTTGAGGTTGATGTTGTTGTGACGCGGTTTGTTGTTGATGTTGGGGAGACGTGTAGGCAGATTCTGGTGATGCGTAAAAACCGCTATTGTTGCCATTTGGCCAAGCAAATCCATTACCAACTCGCAAATGTTGGGGACTGCCAGTGCGCGAACAATTTTGTTGAGGAAAAGGTTCAGAGTAATAGTTGGGCCTTGATCCATAACTCTGAGAAGTAGTGAAACCGCTTGGCATACGCTGAGTTTGATGATTCGATGGTGATGTCGATGAATTCGCCGATGGGAATGTGTGGTATCTCAAAGGACAATATGTGGGAATAATACTTTCTTCTTCTTCGTAGTCATCTTCGAAGTCATCGTCATCATCATCTAATTCATCAGCGCTAAGCAATGTAGTGGCAAGAGTTGAGCGTGTTGAAATGCTGCCCCAAGGATCGCTAGGTACAGCAACTGCCTGTAATTTTGATATACAATCGACGGGTTCAGGTGCGGTGGTCCATGGTACGCTTGCCACAACCTCCAGCTTTGCTATGCTATCCTCCGGCACTGGAGACGATGATGTAGGCGGCAATGGTGTCGTTGCATCAACTTCACCAGCAACTGGTATATTAGCGACAATGGCATTTAAAACGGGCTTTGGTGTTGTCACTTTAGTTCTTGAAACTTCTTTACCATTTCTTAGACTATACGAAAGAGTGCCGCACGAAATGTCACAGCTTTTATTTTCGTTATTGTTGTTATTATTGTGGCTGTTTGTCTTAGTACCATTAATAGCTGCTTTTTGTTCTCCGACAGCATCGATGTAATTATTATTATTCAATGACCATTTACTGGTCTTTATTGGCGGCGGACAATTTGTGTAGGTGTTTGCGTCCTTGCTATCAAATGTAAGATCATGTTTCCGCTTTGTAGCGGTTGTGGCTTGTAGACCCATGGCTGAGTTGACCTGAAATTATAAAAAAAACATCTTGTTAATAAACCTTTCCTACAAAATAAAATAATTTTAAACTTAAAACGATCGAGATATGTTTTCTAAAGTATCTAATAGTTGAACCATTGCCCTACCTATTGTGGAATTATCCTTTACAAACAGAATGTTTTCCTTCCCTACATGTAATATAAGCAGAAAAACTAAATCCTTAAAATATAGAATTCTCATTGAATAAGTCTGATGACGCAGTTGTTTTTCATAAAAATGCTTAGCACAACAACATCATCCTCCTCCTTAGTCAAAGACGTACAACAAATTCAACAAAAATGTGTATGTGTGTATGTATTTATAAAAATAAACTAGTACGTAAGGAGAATTATATTACAGACGTCGTACTCGTACACATTCAAACGTTTCAGAATCATCGCACAATTCACAGAAAATAACAAAAACGAAAAAATAATGAAAATGTTTCCATTGTGTTTATGAGTTGCCATATGCCGTTGCCCTGCTGCTGTTTGTTGTATTTCATTTTATTTTATTTAGAATTTAGGTTTTTCTTCGTTCTTGTTTGTACTTTGTTCATTAAAGGGATTTTACATTTAAGATACAGATACGGCGGTTCAAACGCAAGCAAGCAGGCAGAAATACATTTTACGGGGTGAGTTTGGAATCGATTCAGTTTTAGATACTCTACCACTACCGCTGTTACAGCTACAGTTAAGCCGTCATGGCACGGCATGTGTTATTTTCCTTGACGTGCCTTTTTCATTTTTCCTACTTATTCCTTTTATTCTTCATGCTTATTTAGGTTTTATTTTAGTATAGTTGCTGATGGTCGTGGTGGTAGTTGTAATGATGATGGTAAAATCGAATTTCACATCATCCCTTAATTTTCGTACAAAACAAAAGAGGGCATTTTTATTATTATACATTTAAGTTCGTTCCAAAGTCGACTTACAAAAAAAAATAAAGAACCGACATTCGAACGTTTAATAAACTACTTTGGCTGCTTGTATGTTCACTACAATCTTTTTTTTTTTCGATATTATGTATATTTTTAGAAGTCTCTCCCGTTTGGGAATTGCAAGTGTGTCTAATATTAGAATTTGAAAAATTTGAAGTGATGAATATTTTTGGTCTACATTCGTTTTTAGCTTTTTGTCAAGATTTGTTTTAAGAATAATTGTCTGGTGCGCATGCTCTATATTCGTATTAGTTCTATGCTTTTATCTAATTACAAATTTGTTAATGATCATCATTATCAACCAACTACAATAATGATTAAAGCAATATACATACATACATACATGTATAATAATCAAATTCAACTTTATAAGCCTGAGTACGGCAGTATTATAATACGCAATATACATACAAACATCCGTCCCAAAGTATAAATATTCAAAAAAAAGTAGTGATGTTCACACAACTAAAATCTTATAAGCGTTTAGTGGACGGTCTATTGATCACTCGGTAGTTTACGATATTTTATGTAAGCGGTTTGCTATTTAACCAACCAAGAAAACGACCAGATACAATGCTGAAAATAGCAGCTCTATTATACACTAAAAATCATCATCCTCAGCCAGCAACTTGAACAACATCATAACCATCATCATCGTTAAGCCAGCGAAACAGCTTTAGTTTAAAATCTACCCAACAACCAATCGTGGTGATGGTGAAACCAGCTTTCGAACTTTAAAACAATATCTTTTGAAAAATGTTTCTGTTTGCCAAGCCTGTTGGCGGCGGCTGAACTTAACAAGTAAAAGCCAGAAACAAGACGACGTAGTCGAGTTGGGTACCGACTGATGATGGTGTGTATTAACAGACTTTGAAATGTTTATGTTTATGAACGATGTTAGCCAATGCTACGCTATTAACTTAACAAAGAGTGGTTTTTAAATCGTTGATACACTGTAAAAAATATAGAATAACTGGTTTCCAAACATCATACATAAACACATATGCATTTATGTACAAACAATCGTACTCGTATGGACATACACGCATACCATAAGACAAACCTGATTTCTAAAGCACCAGCATATTTTGGAACGACAAAACAGACAACTACATATCATGCTATTGATGACGATGATATTTACTTGCAATTCTCTACTTGTTCCACTCATCACTAGAATTAACTATCATAGTTATCATGTTGATCGTTGTGGTCATAAGAATTGAGAGTGGAATCTTTTTTCGAAGTTAATCCTAATTGTTTAAATAACACTATATTATGTTCTCAATATTGATCTGTTTTATTTTATAACTACATAATAATATTTTATAAAAATAAAGTACTATTGGGTGATATACATTACATTTACCCTAAAATATTGTAAAAAAATAAAACTAAGGGTACACTGAAACGATTCATCTATAATTATATATAATATATAGAACAGGTACTTAAATTGCAATGTAAAATACCTGTAAAATGTCTAACAAAAACTACCTGTGTAAAAAGTTTACCTCAATTCCTAGCATTCCTAATCATCATCTTCTATTAGAATTACTTGTTAAGTATTTTTAAATGATGGATTAGTTAACGAGACAGACAGAGAATGATCAAAGAGAATACGTTAAGCTAGCTAAGAACAGTTTTTAATGATCAGATCAAGGAAATCAGTTGAAACAGTTGAAAATGTTTTTGTTATTTCTAGTAACATTGTGTGAGAATAGAATTAAAAGGAAAGAGAGTTAACATTAAAAAATCGTCATCCATTAGTGTGTATGGTAACTAGATAGGTATAATATTTTCAATAGTATAAATTTGGTATCTAACTTTGGGTAATATCTTCCCATGGTATGTGCAGGTACACATACGGTCATATCGAAGGAATAATTTGACAGAAGAAAAAACATTTTTTCAACAATAACTATCCAGCCACCTAGACAACCCGCTACACCGCCGCCACCATTGCCACCTCCAACATACACATACTACATGTTCATCTAGCAATCTACATACAATATAAATATGTACGAACGAGTATATCACGGTATATAGGATACTATATCTCATCCAAACACATTTAGTTGGCGACGTCGGACCATCAAAACATTAAACGTCAGTCATGTTATAATAACACATGAACTAAGTTTATTTCTGCTTTAAGAAAAGCAACGCAACACAACCCAACTCGACTCGAAGCAAAGCAAAGGCATTGGGAAAATATAAAAATGAAAATATTTTCACATTTTTTGTTCATTCCCAATGTATGTATTACAGTGAACAATATCAACATCAGCATTCAACCATACTATATACACATACAAAAATCTTAATACTGGCAACCAGCAATCCAACTAAGCAAACAACCATCCGTCTGTCCGCCGTAATGACTGACGAAACAACCAAGAGTGTTATACTGTTTAAATGTACACTGCACAAAATTTAAGCTTTTTCTTATTAATACTGAGATCATTAATCCGAAATTTTAAGTAAAAAATAATATTTGGATATTTTTTTTCCAGTGTATTGAAAAAAGCAACCCAACAAACGTAAAAACGCATCTCACTAAACAATAAAATACTTTATACAACGAAATGTTAGTGTGCGGGTCCGTTGTGCCGACAAAACGACGTTGTACGTCGCCATTGCTGCCGCCATGTCAGCTATCATGGCATTCACTTGGCTCTACTCAATTCCCCCCGTTTACCTCCTCTGCTTTTTTCCGCAACCCTCAATAAAACAAAAAATAAACACACACTCACTCATACAGTCATTTCATTATATATCTACATTGCTGTTGATGTTGTTGGTTTCGTTGTTTATTCGATCGACCGTCCAAACCGAGTGTATGGCAAACAAACAGCAAAAAAATCTACTTGAAAATATACTAAATACTGAAACTATACATACATTTTTATATACATACATACACACACATATATAGAAAAACTTGAATATACACAATGTATGTATTTCCACATCCAATGTTGCTGACTCGTATTAAAAACTGAACCAACACACAATAGCTAGCTAGCCAGGCAGCCAGCACTGACAGCCAACCAACTTACCAAGCAACCAACCAGCCAGCCAACAAGCACCAGTTCGGAATGTTGGTTATATTATAGCTCTGAACTCATATAACGAGCACAACGAACGAACGAACAAACGAACGACAATACTTTCATACAGACATACAAATAAATGTACGAACGAGACATATAGAAACTGAAAAACAAGTAAGATGCCGTCCGTTTTGAAAAAAAAAAAAAAAATCATATGAATACCCGAAGTACAGTCTCAGTGTTAAAAATAAAACATAGATGTATGCAGAGCGGTACGAAGTAAAGGGGATTTTTAATACAAAATTTATAAAATAAGCCAGATGATGAAGAGTTGCTTTTAAAACGTTCGAAAACAACTCATAACCAAAGATGCCAGACGATTGTAACAACATAATAATATTTTTAGGTAAATTATTCACAAATTCAGTTCTTAAACTTCTCATGACCCACCGATCGATTGTGATCATGTGGTGAAAATAATTAATTATCAAATTTGTGCTCGCGGTGAATATTGCAAAATTTTTCTGGAGAAGAGGTAAAATATGCTCTTATATAAATTATCCCCAATGAAATTCTTAAAAATATCTTAAACATATTAGGAACTAACATTTTTTTCAAAAACATTTTATATTTTGTTGGGTTCCCCTAAAGATTAATAATAAAAACGATCTTTCTCTCTTCCCTATTTATATTTTCAATGCTGTAGTGTATAACAGAAGTACATACTGCTGCATTTACCGTTAACAAAATCTACCCAATATTCATGTATTTTTTATTTAAGTGTGTGCGCTATATGTGTGTGTGCGAATGTGAGCGAATTGAGTGAATGCTTTGTTATAATATTATTTTCTGTTATAATTTTATAAAACGAATGTCTATATATGTGTGCATGTTTATTTATACATCTTCCTTTTCTATACATAGATACGACGAATCCTTCTTTATAACATGTTTGTAACGTTGTACTTTCTCGTATAAAATATAATATTATCCTCCCTTGAGGTGTTTGGTTTGGTTGGGGCTTTTCATTATAGATACGTTTGTTTGTTAAAATTGTATTATAAGTTAAAAACTTATCGTTGTAAAATTGAGGATATTTTTCTATACAACATGCATGTGCAAATGTACGTGTTAGTTTGGATGATGTCTGTGTATAGAAATGGGATATGATTTCGCATGTACCATCAGTTGGATGTGTATGATGTTGAGTGGGAGATGTTCGTTCGTCCTGATGGTTGCCTGGTGGTGGTTGAACGTTGGGTGTTATTTCCGTTTCGATGTTTTAAAAGAGCGCATTAAACATGAAGCAAGTACGTACATATGTATACCAGGAATATAACTATTGGAGAAGTGCTGCTATGCGCATATACCAAATACTATATTTGTCGTGACTAATTGACAGACAAGCTAACGGTGAGTGCAAACGGCTGACAAAATATTTTATGTTTCGAATATTGTATTATTTCATTTGTTTTTACACAATCAGTCATTCAGTCAGTCATTTATAGTTTATGCTTGTTCTATTGTCGAAATTAGTGGGCGATACTAGAAATCTAAAATGTTAACAAACATGGATGAATTTTAATTTTTAGTTTCAGTATCAAAATAAGTTCTATTAAAAAATTAGCACATAATCTACGGCCACTTATTTGCCTAATCGAATCAAAGAGATGAGATATGGTATTATGAATATTCTCAATCCTTACACTAAACAACATTAATATAATAATATGTATAAAATCAACAGGTTTTCTGTCTTAATTATGTATTTAGTTGCACAATTAATGGCCTCCATATCAGCTGTTGTTGTTGTTGTTGTGCTTGCTCTTTGTTTGTTTGGCTTTAAAGGAAACTTAACATCAAAATGATTCGTTCGTAAGAAATAAAGTTCTAACAAGTTGATAATCACCACCCTTTCATTTATATTACGCTGAATCCTATTGTTTTCTGTACGTACATATGTACTTTACTTAAGTTTATGGCATTGTAGGAAAGCCGTTCCTTTTTTGTTGAAAACTTTAAGAATGAAATACAATAAATAAACATATAAAGGACTAAGAAAAGTATATAAACATCCATAAAATTGATGTTGTATGGATTGAGAAAAAATCGTAGTTTTTGCTGCCATTCATGAATATTTTACGCTTCAATGTTACTCCAACAAGCAGCCCACATTAACCACCCATAATACACAACCATGTGCTTTGGAAGCACCATAAGCTGGCAGTAGTACGTTGTTATGTACGGGTGCAATATTATTGTTGTACGTTGGAGTCTCTAACAAAGAATTGTATCCGTACGTACACAGTTACTGTCGTGCAAGGCAAACGTAACACGATGATTGCGATGAACGCTGCAATAGCTTTTAATTTTCGGTAATCTCAAGACTGACTGACTACCTTGAAATATTTGCATATTTGTATGTTTTCAAAAACAAACACCCGAAAAACTCTTCTCTTTTACCATAAGGTTGTGGTGTTGGCTGCAATGGTGGTATCATGCGTACAATGGTGCGTATAAACAATTTTATGCCGCCAATAAGTTTTGATATGTATCTAACTACTACTTGTACTGGTTTTCATAAAATTAAAAAAGTTAATGATGTTGCCAATTAAGACTGCCTGATGATGGATTTCCAGACAATGTTTTAGTCATTTTTATTTGTTATTAATAAACTAGTGTTACCAAATACTTAAACAGACATTTTACTGTTCCTGTTAATATCGTTAAATTTTAAAGTCTTTAAAACTTAGCGGTTTTTCCATTATTGGTTTCTGCTTCTACTTTCGGCACTGTTGTTTGCAGGAAAGTCAAATTGAAACTAAACTAAAGTGAATTACACAAATACCGCAAAACAAATTAACCAAAATTCAAGTCGTTTTTATAAAAAATAATCGTTTTAGCAACAACAGCAGCAGCAGTCGTTAAAATCTTTGTTAGACAACAGAAAAGCGAACTGTTGCACAGATGTAATCGAGATACTTTTGTGTGTGGAAATAAGGTAGTGAATGAGTGAAAGAGTTGTTTGACTGCCGTGCATAGTTACTGGATTTTAGCTGATAACGCAAGACAACCCTTAAGGGTGCTGCTGCTGGCTTTACTTAACTGGATGGCTGGCTGGCTGGTTGAATGAATGAATGCTTTGGTTATTATTATTATTATTATTGCCACCTAGAAGAAGAGGAGGATGAATAGTAGACATGACAAGTGCTGTATGCAATGCTGCAAGTAAGCAAAAGCAACCGCCACCACCACCACCATCACTATTAAAGGAAGTTAAGACGTGCTTTTGCAAGCAATGCAATTTATTGCATGTTTCTCTGTCTGTTTGTTGTTCTTACGTTCTCGTTGGTTGGTGAGAACAAAACAAAAGTACAAGGCGCAAAAAAAACAAATAATAAATACACGTTAAGTAATGAAAACAAAAGAAGAACGAACGAACTAAAGACCAACTACTATGAATACAATTTTCAATAACCACGTGCTATTTGGCATTAGCATATGCACAACCTGATGACAAATACTATAAAATAGTACAATATTTAAACACTACATACACTTGACTCCATAGCCATTAGACTTTAATAAATTTTGGGATATACATATATTCTATTTTCGAATTTTTGACTGATAGTGTATAAAATAAGCTAAACATATAAAATTAAAGGTAGAACCGGTCGAAAAATGTTCAAAAGATATTAAAATGATAACGATAATCTAAGCATACAGCTTTTTATTAAGACTTCATTGTTTTGTTATAGTATATCTATGCAAACTATTGAATTGAGCTAAAAATTACATATAGAAATCCAAATTGGATTAAGAAGGCTAGTATCAATCTAAATGGAATGTGTTGCATGCTATATGTAAATTATAAGATTTAACCTATTTTATCACACAAAATTTTCAAATTTATAGGAATAGGATAGAAGATAACAAATTACCATTATTTATAAATAATTACTAATATTTGTATCCAAATTGATGTTACAAATATAGTCCAAAATTACTTCAACTTTAGATCTAAGACGTGTGTTAAATTATATCTTATACTTTTCCTTCTACATATACAAATTTTTTAAATATAATATGCTCCTAATTATAATTCAATATCCCAGAAAATGACCTCAACTTTAAATCAAAGAAGAGTGTTGTCACAATATATGAAGATACTTTTCCACATAATGAAATCTTAATATTGATAATGATAAATATTAAAGCTTTTGAGAAAAAGAACTGTTATTAAAAGGTGAAAATTCTTAACTTTTATGATAGTGATTATGTTTTTTGTTTTTGCAACAAATCGGAAAAGTTTATTAAATTTAATAAACCACTATAAGTTTTTATGTGTGTTTCTAATGGTTTCAAAAGTTTATAATAATCCAAAGAAATATTTTTATAAGGAGTTGCTACTTTTAATAGAATTACTTCAAGATGGGATTTATTTATGTATGATAAACTTACCTCTGTGCACATTGTTTTGTTAAACCTTATGAATAAATCCACAATACTATCTTGTATGCTTTGTGGCGTTGCAAAGTGGAAAGATCCCTCCAATGTTAGGTTGTCCACTTTTAATATTTTTTTATAACAAACTTTGTAGTAGAGTTTTGTTTTCGTTTAATAGTTTGGCTGTGTGAGTGTGTTTTGGTTTATTACAACAAAAAACATACATTCAGATATAAACAACGACAGCACAGTCTTTGACAGTTAATTTTTGACATCTTTCTTTTTTCTCTAATTTATCTTGTCTCTTCTTAATTTTTATTGATGTTGATCTTTGTTTTATATTTCACTTGAACGTTTTGTTTTCAGTACCTTCTTATCTGTTCACATACATTATCAACTTTCTGTGTTCAATTTAGTTTCTTTATTCTTTTTCTCAATCATTAGATTAGTGAGTGAGTAGATGGATGAATGAATGAGTGCATGCACAAAAATTGGTTGTTGATCAATGGATCTTGTATGAATTATTTGCTGTTTTTCTTGTTTTTGTTTTTATTATTGTTGTTTGATTGAATGGTTGGTTATGGTTTGTTTTGATTATGTCTTTCTTATGCGCGAAAATTCACTGTTTTATTGTTTTCATTTATGTTTTTCTTTTTGCACAATTAATATTCCTTATTCTTTTAGTAAATGTCAACAAACAAAATACTTTGCAGGTAGTTTAACTGTTTAATGTAAACAATAATTGTAGATAAATTAATTTGACTGTTAATTTCTTTCTTTCTATATTTTTGCAATAATAATTTTTCTATTTCAAAAATCACAATTTTGTTCGCAAACTTTTTTTAACAATTTATATTTTGTTTTTTATTTTTATGCAATTTTGCTAGTCGATTTAATTAGATTTTCTTATTAATCCCAGTTTCATATTCTAGGAACTTATTTGTTTTGCTTTTTTTAAAAAATACGCGCTTTTGAAATGTACGACTACGACAAAAAGTTTATGTGCGACCAGCGAGCGAGCGAACGAACGTGTACTTAGTCTACCATAGTAAAATCAGAAATAACCAGTCGTTGTGAAAGATATGTGCACCAGAGTCTTGAAGCGGCATATAGACCTCTTGTTGTTGTGTTTTTTCCCTTCTTTCTACCTCCCTTCCTTCTCTCGTTCCCATCGACAAAATAATGTATTTGTGTGTAGTATCTGTGTGTGCCCGATGATGGCTCTGCTATATAGACGACTACACACAAAGGAAGTTAAAGCAATGCCAAGTGTTAGAGTGCGACGGCACTATAGTGTGTGAACGAAAGGCAATGATGTCATACGCTCAGTAAATTGTTTTTTGTTTGTTTGTGCTTCATTCCTACATAATACATGAGTACAGCAAAAATTGTATTTCAACAAAAACTTACATAAAGCAAATGCATAGAGTAGAGCTAAAAAATAATAAAAACGAGAGATTTCATATAAAAATTTGTTGTTTTACGAGAGTTTTAGTAATGGCCATGAGTTGCCAGACTTCGATATTACTCGGTATGTTCAATGTTGAAATGACAAATGAAAATAAGCGTAGTTGTTGAACAATTTAACAAGGAGTACATTTGGACACCAACTTAGTCAATAGCTTAGTCAGGTTATAGACATTTTATAAGAAGCTTACAGATCAACAAAACCAATGACAGTTGGAGTTATGCTCTACAGATTTTTTAATGTAAACATGGAATTCATCCGATATCGTGAATTCAGTCATTAAATAACCTTCTACCCTCGATATTTACTATACTATTAACAATTATATTTATATTTGGTTGTTAGATTTATCGAAATAATTTTTAAATCATAAATTAACTAATGAGACATCATAAATGTAGACGATGATGCCACAGTAAATTGATTAGATCTTGTTAATATTTGTAAGGACAGAATGAAATTACCTCCTTTTTGAGTTCTGAATTTGTGCGGTGAATACTTACAAAAATACGTTACTGGAATTTCAGTAATAAACATGATTGCAGAGGTTGTATAGAAATCATTAGAAGTGTTTCCGATTAATCTCAACACATTTATTACGGGAGCAATGACGACAACGCCAACCAAAGAACTCCTAATCATGTTGAATTGGTAACCAGGACTTGGATTAATGGCTATTCAACTAGCCCTCACTCTGCCATCAGATTAAATGCCTGCGGTTCGGTTATAGAAATTACTAGCATTCAAAAATTATAAAACATTTCGAATCACTGCATTCGAATGATGACTATTGCGTTGCGAAGCCCAATTTCTATAATCGCTTTCGACCAAGTTCCATATAGGAATTCGGAATTAAAACCTCACCAACCTCCAGGTGTAACGGAGGTTTACACTGAGGGTTCTAAGAATACTTATTGAATGATTTGGATACTTCAGACTGCCTAACTACTGTACTGGTCCTCAGACAGAAATATCTTCTAACAAACGAACAGCGAATTGCCTAAAGTTCTATCACATATCGGAGATATATGTATGCATATATCTACATCTAGGTTAATCAAAGAATGACGAGTATCTCTAGATGAGATAGCGAGACATTCTAGGATAACGCTAATAAAATATCATGGTGGAGCGGTGCGATGATGGATGAGGAAGAAATCGACGCCTTTACTGGAAACCCCAAATCAGGTCGTTAAGTGAAACCATCCGTCAGACCTAGAGGTTTACCTGGCCTCTACATGATGCTCTCAGATCAAGACTGCTCATAAGCTTTCGAAGAGAGCAGATAAGCACGGTATTATCAGTAAATACAGGACCCATGCTAGGAGACTAGGTCTTGGATATAATGACTACTGCGGATGTTGCCATAATGAAGAAGATGATGAGACAGTGTCGCATCTACCATACTTCTGCCCTACAATCACTGAAAGCTGGGAATGTAGGGCAGGAATCACTTCGGTGCCCTCTAAGGCACCGAGGAGCTTTCTGGGATAGGACTTAAGAATACACTCTGCTTTATAAATTAAACCGGTTGGTTTAGTTCTGGAAGCAGAGAGTGATATCAGAGTACACTCCTGTGACCACTAGGGTAACACAACGGGGCCAATTTTAATGATCCCAAGTGAGCTGCTTATGAAGCAGCTGCCCTTAAAACCTTTGAGAAATTTAATCTCGCTGGCCCCATTACCTATTTTATTATTTATTGGTTTTAATAAAAAGATCCAATTGAACTAACCAATTGAATAGGTTCGTTAAGCAAAGAACCAATTCAATTGGTTCTAATACGAATATTCAAAAATTATGCCACTCCTATAGGGCCAGACCCAAAATTTAAAGATAAAAAGAAGAGAGTTGGAATGTCACATTGTACATTTTCCGAAGTTTCAAAGAAATTTGTTGAATAGACTTGCTTTGAAGTAAAAAGAATCTGCGGATGAAATTTTTGAAGTTTTCGGAAAATGAAGATATTAGTACTATTATGGGAGTACATGATCCGCAACATGGTCTTATGCAATGCAGGCTGTGGACCATGTTGTTATCAAAAAATAAACATGATCCATGTCTGAATTACATAGGACTACTTAACGGAACATGTACTCTAATAATGTTTACAGGGGAGTAGTTTTGGGATTACCCAAATGTATGATTTACACCAAATTTTTTTGTAGGAATATATTAATTTATCAGCGTATAAAAGTTAATCACCCCTATTCGAATCGAAATTTTGTTAGCTTGGCAACTTTGGTATTCTTCATTTCGAATAGAAGCTCCGTCAAATAACCACTTCCAAAACGTAGTTACGATCGTAATGTAAAATTCACACAATCGTAATTCTCACAATTGAAATTAAATTGCTTCTTCTTTTTCTTACGATTCCGTTTTTTTTTTTGGAATACCAATTTTCGATTGTAGCTTAAATTAATGCGGAAACGTAATCGAAATGCGGAATAGGGGTGAATATATTCCGTTCCAACATAAAATCAATTCTGCTATCTGCAAAAGTCGAAGCTTTAAAATAGCCAATCTTTAAAAAATTTAATTTGGAATATTTTCTATTAAGAGAAACTGGTTTTTATTTAAAGAAAATATCTAAACAGGCTTCTTAAAACACGCTCCTTTTAATCATACGTCTCTGATTTTTCATATAAAAAATCTTAAAGCATGTGGCAACCCAAAGTTGTGTTTTTCAACATGCGATGTATTCATTCGTATGTACGGATGGTTGGATGGATTTTAGCCAGAGTGTATGGTGATGGGGGGAACTATTTGGGGATTTATATAGGAGTGTATGTGTATCTGTTTTGTGTAATGTAGTGTTGTTAGTTTTATTATTTGGATTCATTTATGTGCTTGTTTCCAAAGAGTGGGGTTTTTATATTTCATACATACACTTATACTCATACACTTGCACACGTGTGTGGAATGTTGTCAGTTGGGATTTTTTCTTCTTTCTTGGATTTTATTTTATATTTTCTGTATGCTGAACGAACGAACGTTCAGTTCATATAGTCGCATAAAAATCCATACATATTCGTATAAAGTATATGTATGTATTTATATCTATAGATAGATGTATGTATATTATGTTGTTGCTGTTGTTATTATTTTTGTTGCTTGTAGTCAGTTTTTAGCCATACTATAAGATGACTACTTGTACTATAGCGATGATATGGTGGGACGGACGGATGGATGGATGGTAAGATGGATGGAATGGTTGGTTGGATCGTATGAGTTACTTTGAGCTGTGTGCTATAGACTTAAAACTTAAAAATAAAGCGAACAAATTCGAATTCATTTCTTTAAAAGTCTAATGATGAAGTAACTTATGTACAAGCAAAAGATATTCATTTATACTCGAATGTTGATTGTATGTATGAATGTATCTTAAGTAAAGAAAAGTTAAAGAACCAGCCTGCCTGCCAGCCAGCCATCAAGCAACAACTACGAGTAAAAACTACTTGGCCAAAATATCGGCACCGACAATTATCGACACAAGTTGTTGGTTGTTTGGTTTGTTGGTACTGCTGTGGCTGCTGCTGTTGTTAGTTGAAGGCGACACCGATTGTTGTGTGCCGTGCTTTGTTGGGCTTTACCGTGCGATTTTGTGTACTATATTGACAACGACCAAGACTAAAACGGCTGGCGAATATTGAAGATTGTTGGCTGGTTGGTTGTTTGCTTGATTATTATTTCGTTGGCCTGTGTTGTATGACGCAGTCTTAAGTGAATTTTGCCTTGAAACATTTTTTGAACTTATTTATGTTTTTAACTCATTTTGAAAATGGCTGGCTACAAATACTTTAAATGAATGTTAACCAAAATAAAATAATATAAAATTAAAAATAAAATTTGTATCTGAACTGGTTGTAGGATGGTTGGTTGCTTTTGTTCGTTGGTTCGATTGTTGTTTGTTAGTTCGAGAGCCGATTGCTCAATGGCTGAAAAATTAAATCTTTATGTTTGGCAATTGTTAAATCTTTAGAGGGGTTTTTTGATGATCGTTCTTTTAAATTATGATCACTATTCATGTCGTATTCGCAAATTCAAAAGACATTTTATTTCCATCAGCTGTTGTTTGACGACAACGATGACGATATTGTTGTTGAGGCAATGGCTATTCGCTAACAACTAAACTTGAGATTATTTCTGTTTCTCATTCATATTGATAGAGGATAGAGGGTTGTCTGTCTGTCGTTGCCCTGTCAGCCTGTTTGCCTGCCATTCAGCCGAAAGTCCACTTTACAATGTAGTTGCTAATGTTGATGATGTTGGCGTGTTGGATACTTTTATCAATGCTATTAACTTAACATTTTCAATGTTGGCGGTGGTGGTGGTGCTGCTTCTGATGCTGCTGTACATACATACTATGTGTGTGGTGATGTTGTTGGCGCTGTTATTGAAAAAAGGGTTCTGTTTCCTTCCTTCCTTCTTTTGACTTTTGTACTTTATGAGTGCGCCTTAACTCAAAGTACTCAGTCAGTATCGCGGAAAATTATAAAATATTTGAGATTGAGAATACGAGAGAACGAAGAACTAACTGTTATTTAAAATACATGTATATATGTATGTGTGAATAACGCTAGAATAACAGCCAGGACAATTTCGTTTTCCTATTGACGATGATGATGCAGATGTTGGTCTGATGTCGTCTGAATGTGAAATTGTAACCATATGTGAGGGTGAATTGATTGTTGAAATTTTACAGCATGTGCGAATGCTCCCTTCGTTCTAAATGCATGAAAGTAAAATGATTTTTTTATATCTGATGCTCTTAGTTGATTCCTTCGCCTCAACATCCCACTCCTACTGGTTGACTTAGCGTTGCGTTGGTGCGTGTGTGTTTGTATCCATGTATAT